AGACTACTGATAATTAAAATGAAATTTTTTCTAGAGTAAATTTTTTATTTAGAATGTTACCAATTAAGATAACGGAGACAGGGATAAAGGGTTGGCAAAGTATGATTAATAAATTTTGTAATGGGGATAAAAAACCTAGAATTAATAAAAGAAGATGGTATGATTAAGATATATCATAGATGGTATAACAGAACAAGGAGAGATAGAATGGTTAGAGAGTGGTACACAGGAAATGAGGGAGAAGTTAGTGAATACATTTTTTATCAAACCAAATAGAGAATGGTGGCAGAATATTGAAAATCCCTTACTAAGAAATATCATTGAGATACGGGTGAAATATAAAGGAAAATTGATACTAGCAAATTCCCCACTAACCCCGGTGATGATGACAGAAGACTTCCCAGTAAACTGAAAAAAGTAAATTGAAAAAGAAGCGAAAGAGAAGAAAATACTTAAAATAAAGTTGAGTGGAGAAAATGAGAAGCAAAGAACAAATAAGAGAAGCTCTAAAAAGAAGTAAAATAACCTGGTTTAACTGTATACAACTGGAGCAATGGACAAAGAAGTGGTCAAGGGAAAACAAGAACTGCAAAGAATATACAAAATTTGGGGATATCTATATAGATAGATAGATAGATAGATAGATAGATAGATAGATAGATATAGATATAGATATGATAAAGAAAAAAATACAGTTATAAAAATGGAAATCAGTGAAATTTATAAAATATTAATAGAAATGGAGGATGAAGGAGATCAATTAAAAGAGGTGTGGGAAAAGAAAACAACAGGGCAGTTACATAGTAACAGCTGGGGGAATTATGGGAGAAACACATGTTGAAAATGCTGTCTATAAGAATAAAAGAAAATTGTTATAAATTAATTAGGAGATGGCATTTAACACCAGTCAGATTAAATCAAATAAACAAGAAATATTCAGTGTTATGTTGGAGGGGATGCCAGGAAACCGGGAATTATGTTCACCTGTGAGGGTGCAAATATGTACATTTTTTTTATTTTATTTTTTTGCAAAAGGTGTTTAAGGAGATAACAGAAATCAAGTCCAGAGGTAGCATTATTATCAATTTACGATGGGGTGGAAGGTTCACAGGCTATAAAGGACTTGCTCACTAATTTATTCACAGCTGCATGAATTATGATAGCTAGGAAGTGGAAGGGGCAAGCAGAATATAAAATGGAAGAATGGTATAAAGAGGTGTGGGATAGAGCTATTAATGATCAATAAACATGTGCCATTAACGTAAGAGGGGGAATATGCAGGAGAAATGATTTCGGGGAGAAATGGAGGGTGTTTGTGGAGTTTGTACTGTTCAAACAGAAAGGAGTCGGACCACCACAAGAGGTGTTGAAATTTGGGGAGGTTGGATAATTACAATGGAATGGTCTCAGTGGTGGGATGCACATGTTTATTCTTATTTAAAGAAGAAGGAGGAGAAACTCATCAAAGGTTTGCCAACTTGAAGACTAGTTGTGGTAGGGAAACATCTCTTCAGAGCAACTTGCCCAATGCCACAGATCTTCTCCTGCAACACACAGCTTCGCAGAACTGAAGAAAGACACACCCAACTCACACCGAGCGACATTGGAGCACAGCCAACCTGCCAAGAGCACAGTGCAAATGGAGTGGGCACTCCAAAGCACTCCCAGGATCCTTTGCAGCATGCAAGGTTGTATATGGTAGGGGATCCTTGGCAGACAAAAATGGCTTCCAGACAGCATATATTAAAAATTAAAGGCAAGGGTTATTTTGTGAAAAGAGGGGACTCAGAAGACTCATCTACACTGGTCAATTATAACGTTAAAAATGTGTTCTAAAAATGTGACACGAGAGGGCACTGTAGAGCAGTGATCCATCATCAATGGTAAATGGCATTGAGAGCTATATCTTTATAGTGTTTTTATAGCATTTTCCATATGTGTGTAGATCCAGCCTCACTGGTACGAACAACCATCACCTTTTAATTTTTTTGCTGCCCACCCACAGCAGCCATTTTGTGCTGGCACCCAGGACACCTTTATCAAGATATGAGTCCCAGCACCTACTATTTTACCCCCCCCCCAAAAAAGGACAGGGTAAATGTGTTATCTCTAGTCACACTGGACTTTCAGGGGGTTGAAGAAGGATCAACTGCCCCCCCCCCACTGCTGCATGCCTTAGAAAGGAAAATCAGTTCAATCTGCTTTAGAATTCCGTACCTTAAGTAGTCCAAGCACAAGACAGAGAAGATCTCACCTGGTTCTAGATCCATCGAATATGTAAAACAAATATAGCTCGAAGCAGAAGGACGACAAAATTTCCAGAGGCCACGGTTCAAATTGCCAATTAGCACCCAGTGGTCTGAGCCCAGGGCAATGAGAGTGAGAAGAAGGCTGATGAAAGCACTAACCACAGCACTGAACTGCAGTATATGCATTGTGAAAACGTTCAAATCTGTGACTGAGGCTAGATGGACCTTTGACCTGACCCAGAAGGGCAACAGTAGAGGAGGAGGAGGAGCAATCAGGCAAGATCGAATCCAGAGAGTGGGCATGGGTCTCTAGTCTGGCCCTCTGTGACTGCCTAGTGACGCCAACTCTGATTAACAAGTTGGTGACTCATTAACCTATATGATTTCTGCAAATGGGTCTCCTCCGCCTTCTGATGCTGCTTGCCTGCCATAGATCAATAACCAAAGAAATACATTTGTGAATCAAATGCTTCTCATGAGTTGTTGATGCACTTTTATAACTTTGCATGCAGATGAAAATATGCGAGCAGTGATAGGAGCTTTTGTCAGTTTCATATGCCTCACTCCCATAATCATTCACAAATATTTTAAGAGAAGAATTCTATGCCTGGTCTGGTCTGGGGAGCTGCAGTGTCAAGCACACACACATACACACCCCCAGACTCTCCTTCCCTCTTTCCTTCTTCATTGCACACTCCTATTGCCTCAAACGACAATCGCCTAGCCTAACCTAGCCATGCCCCACTTTGTTGGCTGATGGAATCAAAACAGAAGGACTCATGAAACTCTGAGAGTATTTGGATGTTGTTTTTATTTCATTTATTTTTAAAATCCTTCTGCACACAGCAGTCACTGAGAGAAAAAATAAGAATTTTTTACAAACTCTATTTATACAAAATATGTGTGGTGGCAATTTGTTTTTCCAAATTTAGAAAGCTTACTCAAGGTGCCTCCTGACTGTGTACCCTAAAATTGGGGTCGCACATAAATAATGTGGGTTAAAGCCATCTATTACCCTGGGACAACAAATCCATTTTTTTAAAAAAATATAAAGGAATCAGGGTTATAGCCAATGCTAATCTACTAACATAGGCCCATTAATTTCGATGAATCTAATCGAATTCAGTGGGGTACAACCCAGACTTTGTGTGTTTGGGGAGGAGTGCTGGGAAATGCATTGACAAGTGAGAAATGAGTGAATTATTACTGGGAACACATATAAACACTTGACAAACAAATCAGGGCAAAGGCAGGATGAATGCTTGTTGTAATATGATTCCCCAAGAAAGATCAGGATGGATGCTGAATGATCTAACCTCCACATAAGTTTTCTGCAAGTATATTGGGAGGAATAAATAGGCTATGTGTGGGAACCTTCTGTTAAAGAGAAAGTCACATCCAAGAACAACTGCTTTTCTCCCAAAACTTGCATGGGGGAGAGAAAGAGCCACATATCAAGGGATGGAGAAGAGACAGGTTCCATTACTTCCTATGACTTCCTTTGCAGGGTAGTCTGCTGGGAGGGAGCAAAATTAGACCTCTTGATGCTAAATCCAAACCCACTCTTCCACCCTTATAACCAGGCTGTCTTTTAGGCTTCAGAATCTGTGTGCTTATATTCTTGCTGCCAGAAGGTAAGCAAGACAAACAGAAGAATCACAAAAGTCATTTACTCATACAAACTATACGGAAGATAGAGAGATATCATTTAATTCATAGACCTTCCTTTCAGCTTGATGAATAGAAGATGTCGAGCTTACTCATTCCTTATCTTTAACCCAGCCACTGAAAGAATAATAATATTGTTCATCATTGTGGCAGATCAAGCTGATGGACTATGCCAAAATGGCAAAAATGACTGGAAGAATCAGAAATCAGGAAGACCAAAATTGTAATAAGGAATGGGGAAAAGGTATCTTAAAAACCATTGTAAACAGCTAAAAAAAATTAGTGGGATTGGAATAACAGTTGTAGTTTAATGGTGAATTTTGGACACAATGGAGATGTAAAAAGGTTTGGATTATTATAGAATATGCAAAAGGAAAGGACTAACAATAGGACCCACAAATGGGAGGAGGGAAGTCCAGGAAGTCCAGGAGATTCTGTGGAATCTTATTTCTATATTGTATGTTGATATATGTTATTGTAAAATTTTAATTTGAAAAAACCAAAAAAATTAATTTACAAAATAATAATAATAATGTTCATCATGATTCTTAATGGGTAATAGCAGCATACATTAAGCTAATGTGGTACTTTAATCAACCTTCCCCCACCAATTTGAGAAGTTCTGTTCTACAGCATTCAGTAAATAATTTCCAGTTTCTTAACCACCTTGCTGGACCTATAAAAATGTCAGTTTTGTCATTAAAGGAGGGTTGCCATACATCCGGAATTTTCCCAGACATAGCAGGTATTTGGTTCATGTCAGAAGTGTAGATTTTGGTGAATTTCATTAAAGAAAGCTCAAAAACCCTTAGAGATTTTGCAAAGAAAGCTCAACAACTTTGGGCAAAACTAAAAAAATAATAATGAAGAAAAGCTCAACAAATTTGGCCAAAAAAAAAATCAAAACCTCAACCACCTTGACAAAAACTCAACAACTTTTGTGTCCTGATTTTCACTTTTTGAAATATGGCAGCCCTACATTATATTCAATTCCCCCCAGCTCCAACTCGCCCCAGTGCAGGCTGCATCTCTGTGCCCCACTTGGCTCCAGGTGTCATCTGAAGTGGAAGCACAGCCTTTTCTTCATGCTCCTGTTGACACAGCCCTATCCAAGGGGAAAGCCAGCCCACCTGTCAGGAGAGAAAAGGGGCTGATTAGCGCAACAGGGGAACAGAACAAAACACCACCCAAGATATCTGGGGCTCTGACCCCAGCGTTACCTCTCTTGCTCATCCTCCAAGACCTGCTGTTTTCATGGACCAAAATATATTTATTCCCTTCCACAGAACCACACTGACTGCGCATTTTGAGACTTCTCCAAGGGACTAGTCATGGGCAGAACTGGAAGTGTCTAGGAGTGGATGGATAAGCCTATCTCACATCCGTGTCATTAATGCATAAACCTGTTCCAACCCATTTTCACATCACACTGTAAATTATATATTTTAAAATAAAACGTAACAAGAACTAGTGTGTATCCACAACATACATATATGAACACATATCTTAGGTCAACATATGCAATAATAAAATACATATTTTGATGTAGATGTGTCGATTTTTAAAGCAAGAGGCTTTTACTGATGTCCTCCATGGGCACATGGAATCCTAGAACTATTGGGGTAGTATTGGATTTGATTGTAGGAAGCAGCTATGCAGATACATGCCTTGTATGTGTGTGTGTAGATATAGATAGATAGAGATGATAGATAGATGATAGATGATAGATAGATGATAGATAGATGATAGATTAGATAGATGATAGATAGATAGATAGATAGATAGATAGATAGATAGATAGATGCCATATATATCAATCCTGTGTGCCAACAGTTCTCGGGGTCCCGGCCAGATACATTTTCAGAACCTTCTGAGAAGCTTCTGAAGCTTGGACGTGAAAAACATGCGTGTTATACTGAGCTACAGCTTCTCCACCAATCTGCAACACTTAGGCAACATAACTGTATAGAACGTCAACATTCCATTACAGGCACTTTGGGATCCCATTCATTACCTTGGCCTCAATTACTCTGGCTTCAGCTCTGCTAAGGGGCAGAAACTGCACTGGTTGTGCCTCCAAATTACCTTTGACTAGGGTTGGATATTGGGGCTGTGACGCTGTTGGTTCTTCTGGACATCTCATTGGCATTACATAGAAGTCCGCTTACCCTTCAGTTGCACTGTGGGTAGGCAATGCCTCCTGGATCCCTCATCCGACAGGGGCCCTGGTGCTGGGGACTGCCTGGCTGGTGAGGGCGGCTTCAAGCTCACCTCGCCAGCTGGTGTTTCGGATTCAAGTCTGCCTGCAAATTGGCCAATGGCAGGCAGGCTTGGAGACAGGGCCTTCCCAGGGAGTGGGCTTGATGAGGCAGGTTGGCCCTAGTCCCAGCAACTAGTTTTTTGTTGGATCCCCCAGCCAGCCAGCCCTTTTTCATACTGTTTTCAGACCTAGCTGTGGCATTGGTGGTCACCATATTCGGTGCAGGAATTCGTCCATCAAGGAAATCAGCACCTGCCTGTTGGTTTTTTCCTACCTCATAGCAATTGTCACAACTTTGGTGGTCTAGGTATTGGATGTTCCTTAGTCTTGGCCGGGCAGGGGAGAGGTTGTAGTCTAGGCCTAAAAGGTAAAGGTACCCCTGCCCGTACGGGTCAGTCTTGCCAGACTCTAGGGTTGTGCGCTCATCTCACTCTATAGGCCGGGAGCCAGCACTGTCCGCAGACACTTCCGGGTCACGTGGCCAGTGTGACAAGCAGCATCTGGCGAGCCAGCGCAGCACATGGAACGCCGTTTACCTTCCCGCTGGTAAGCGGTCTCTATTTATCTACTTGCACCCGAAGGTGCTTTCGAACTGCTAGGTTGGCAGGCGCTGGGACCGAACGACGGGAGCGCACCCCGCCACGGGGATTCGAACCGCCGACCTTTCGATCGGCAAGTCCTAGGCGCTGAGGCTTTAACCCACAGGCCTACCCCTCCCCAAATGTAGGGTATCCCATTAAAGGGGTCCAGGAGGAGTTGCTTCTGGCTGTATGCCCAGGCGGGGGCTTGGACCTCAGCACTCCTCAAGGTGGTGACCCCCATGGGAGTCCCCCTATTTGACGTAAGTCATAGGAACCCCTGCTGCTGTGTTGACCCTTGGTGTCACTTCCGGCAGGCGGGTTGGAAGTAAATGGTTGACTGATGCCTATGCCCAACCTCTTGCCTCTAATGTCAATAAAGTTGTGGCCCGGTTTGATCCCATTCAAGCTGTGCCATGTCCTTCATACTGTTATTCGGAGAATTGGGGGGAGTGCAGAGCCTGGTCACGCAAGTCAGGCATTATGGAGTCCTTCTGGCATAGTGGGGAAAAGAGGGTGCTGATTTGCAATAGGTCCTTTCATTGCTGTTAAGGGAGATGCAGAATGAGGTCCTATGAGATAAGTGTTCTACCCCACGGAGATTGATTTTGAACCCCCTCAGATATGTACCTTATCCTTCATGCTATTTAACACCTACGTATATACTAATCCCATAGGTAGCACACAAAAAATCAATTTTCTTAATCCACAATCATTCGTGCTCATCCTCAACATGCTGCTTTCAATCTAAATTAATTCTAGATCCTGGCATCCCACCCACAAGAGTGGGTGTGGTGTCATAAAACCTTTCACCTAATTAGGGTATCCATATTTTTGCTTCCCTGCCCATGCCTCAAATAATTGAAGAAAGAAGCACTCTTGGTATATACCAACCCACAACGTCATTGGGCAGGTAAGGATGCTCTCACACACACCTGCTTTCATCTGTGTTCAAATGGACACACTGTAGAGCAGCCCCAGACTTAAATAATGCAGCTGACAATGCTTGTTGCTGTTGCTGTTTAGTCATTTAGTCATGTCCGACTCTTCGTGACCCCATGGAGCAGAGCACGCCAGGCACTCCTGTCTTCCACTGCCTCCCGCAGCTCGGTCAGACTCATGTTTGTCGCTTCAAGAACACTGTCCAACCATCTCGTCCTCTGTCGTCCCCTTCTCCTTGTGCCCTCCATCTTTCCCAACATCAGGGTCTTTTCCAGGGAGTCTTCTCTTCTCATGAGGTGGCCAAAGTATTGGAGCCTCAGCTTCACGATCTGTCCTTCCAGTGAGCACCCAGGGCTAATTTCCTTAAGAATGGATGCGTTTGATCTTCTTGCAGTCCATGGGACTCTCAAGAGTCTCCTCCAGCACCATAATTCAAAAGCATCAAATCTTCGGCGATCAGCCTTCTTTATGGTCCAGCTCTCACTTCCATACATTACTACTGGGAAAAACATGGCTTTAACTATACGGACCTTTGTTGGCAAGGTGATGTCTCTGCTTTTTAATATGCTGTCTAGGTTTGCCATTGCCTTTCTCCCAAGGAGCAGGCGTCTTTTAATTTCGTGACTGCTGTCACCATCTGCAGTGATCATGGAGCCCAAGAAAGTAAAATCTCTCACTGCCTCCATTTCTTCCCCTTCTATTTGCCAGGAGGTGATGGGACCAGTGGCCATGATCTTCGTTTTTTTGATGTTGAGCTTCAGACCATATTTTGCGCTCTCCTCTTTCACCCTCATTAAAAGGTTCTTTAATTCCTCCTCACTTTCCGCCATCAAGGTTGTGTCATCTGCATATCTGAGGTTGTTGATATTTCTTCCGGCGATCTTAATTCCAGCTTGGGATTCATCCAGCCCAGCCTTTCTCATGATGAATTCTGCATATAAGTTAAATAAGCAGGGAGACAGTATACAGCCTTGCCGTACTCCTTTCCCAATTTTGAACCAATCAGTTGTTCCATATCCAGTTCTAACTGTAGCTTCTTGTCCCACATAGAGATTTCTCAGGAGACAGATGAGGTGATCAGGCACTCCCATTTCTTTAAGAGCTTGCCATAGTTTGCTGTGGTCGACACAGTCAAAGGCTTTTGCATAGTCAGTGAAGCAGAAGTAGATGTCTTTTTGGAACTCTTTAGCTTTCTCCATAATCCAGCGCATGTTTGCAATTTGGTCTCTGGTTCCTCTGCCCCTTTGAAATCCAGCTTGCACTTCTGGGAATTCTCGGTCCACATACTTCTTAAGCCTGCCTTGTAGAATTTTAAGCATAACCTTGCTAGCGTGTGAAATGAGTGCAATTGTGCGGTAGTTGGAGCATTCTTTGGCACTGCCCTTCTTTGGGATTGGGATGTAGACTGATCTTCTCCAATCCTCTGGCCACTGCTGAGTTTTCCAAATTTGCTGACATATTGAGTGTAGCACCTTAACAGCATCATCGTTTAAAATTTTAAATAGCTCAGCTGGAATATCATCACTTCCACTGGCCTTATTATTAGCAATGCTTTCTAAGGCCCATTTGACTTCACTCTCCAGGATGTCTGGCTCAAGGTCAGCAACCACACTATCTGGGGTGTACGAAACACCCATAGCTTTCTGGTATAATTCCTCTGTGTATTCTTGCCACCTCTTCTTGATGTCTTCTGCTTCTGTTAGGTCCTTTCCACTTTTGTCTTTTATTACAGTAATCTTTGTACGAAATGTTCCTTTCATATCTCCAATTTTCTTGAACAGATCTCTGGTTTTTCCCATTCTATTGTTTTCCTCTACTTCTTTGCATTGCTCGTTTAAGAAGGCCTTCTTGTCTCTCCTTGCTATTTTTTGGAAATCTGCATTCCATTTCCTGTATCTTTCACTATCTCCCTCTCATTTTGCTTGCCTTCTCTCCCCCGCTATTTGTAAGGCATCTTTAGACAGGCACTTTGCTTTCTTGCATTTCCTTTTAACTGGGATGGTTTTAGTTGCTGCCTCCTGTATAATGTTACGAGCTTCCATCCATAGTTCTTCAGGCACTCTGTCCACCAAATCTAAATCCTTAAACCTGTTCCTCACTTCCACTGTGTATTCATAAGGGATTTGACTTAGATTGTATCTTACCGGCCCAGTGGTTTTTCCTACTTTCTTCAGTTTAAGCTTGAATTTTGCTATAAGAAGCTGATGATCTGAGCCACAGTCAGCTCCAGGTCTTGTTTTTGCTGACTGTATAGAGCTTCTCCATCTTTGGCTGCAGAGAATATAATCAATCTGATTTTGATGCTGCCCATCTGGTGATGTCCATGTGTAGAGTCGTCTCTTGTGTTGTTGGAAAAGAGTGTTTGTGATGACCAGCTTGTTCTCTTGGCAGAACTCTATTAGCCTTTGCCCTGCTTCATTTTGAACTCCAAGGCCAAACTTGCCAGTTGTTCCTTTTATCTCTTGATTCCCTACTTTAGCATTCCAATCCCCTATAATGAGAAGAACATCCTTCTTTGGTGTCATTTCTATAAGGTGTTGTAAGTCTTCATAGAATTGGTCAATTTCAGTTTCTTCAGCACCAGTGGTTGGTGCATAAACTTGGATTACTGTGATGTTAAAAGGTCTGCCTTGGATTCGTATCGAGATCATTCTATCATTTTTGAGATTGCATCCCAGTACAGCTTTCGCCACTCTTTTGTTGACTATGAAGGCCACGCCATTTCTTTTACGGGATTCTTGCCCACAGTAGTAGATATGATGGTCATCCGAACTGAATTCTCCCATTCCCGTCCATTTTAGTTCACTGATGCCCAGGATGTCAATATTTATTCTTGCCATCTCATTTTTGACCACATCCAACTTACCAAGGTTCATAGTTCTTACATTCCAGGTTCCTATGCAATATTTTTCTTTGCAGCATTGGACTTTCCTTTCACTTCCAGGCATATCCGCAACTGAGCGTCCTTTCGGCTTTGGCCCAGCCGCTTCATCAGCTCTGAATCTACTTGTACTTGTCCTCCGCTCTTCCTCAGTAGCATGTTGGACGCCTTCCGACCTGAGGGGCTCATCTTCCAGTGTCATAACTTTTATATGCCTGTTGCCTTTGTCCATGGAGTTTTCTTGGCAGGGATACTGGAGTGGCTTGCCGGTTCCTGCTCCAGGTGGATCACGTTTGGTCAAAACTCTCCACTATGACCTGTCCATCTTGGGTGGCCCTGCACGGCATAGCTCATAGCTTCTCTGAGTTATTCAAGCCCCTTCGCCATGGCAAGGCAGTGATCCATGAAGGGGCTGACAATGCTAGGCGAAGGCAAACGTTTTAATAAAGACGTGCATTTTCAGCATATCCCATTTGACACATACTCACCAGTAATAAGGAAGAGAGGAAAGGAGGCCCAACCCAAGCCAAAAGACCATCCATAAAAGCCATTTCCTCCTGCCTGCCCTGTGTAAATGGCCATGGCAATCAGGACGCAACCAGCTAGGAAGAAAAAATACATCAGGATATCACGTTACTTGTAAATTAAATCCTTGATGCTGAGTTGGAAGCTGCAGCTAGTGCAAAATGGAGAGGATCAACTATTCACTTGGGGTGGAATATGACCAACATATATACTGCTGCTGAAAGAAATGCACTGGCTGCCAATCTGCCGCTGTGCACCGTTCAAAATTAGTGTACAAAGCCCTATATAGTTATGAACCAGTGTGACTAAAACATCATCTCACCCCCTGCATCCCAAGCTGACCACTGTGCGCTGCAAGAAATGGCATCCTGCAGGTCCCAGGCTATGAGGAGGTCCATTCCACATGATGTCAAAATGGGCCTTTAGTGTGGTGGCACCTACACTTTGGAACTCCCTCTCATTATATATTGGCCAAGCACCTTCTCTGTTGTCTTTCTGGTGCATGCTAAAGATGTCCTGCTTTCAACGAATGTGCTAAAATCTCTATCCCAGCTGGTATCAGTTCCGAATCTGAGTTGATTGTGGATTATCAGCTTCTGTTCTGAACAGTTTTTTTATATTTATGGTTGCTATTTTTCAAATTGTTTTCAAATGCAATTGTTTGGCTGTTTTTATATATGTATCAGTTACATATAATGAAAAAGTAAAAGTGTCATCACCCTGCAGTTCACTTGAACACAGACAGGTGGCAATGTGAAATAAAGTGTGATGAGCAGTGGTGGATGGGTGGCTCAGGCGAGGGACTGACACAACATGTTGCAGCCGTTTCTGAGCAGCAGCCCTGCTCTGCTGGCCACCTTTCTGCCTTACTCCTCCTGCCAGCCAAGCTGTTCATTCTACTGGCCAGTGGAGGCAAAGGTAGAAAAAGGAAGGTTTTAGGAGCATGCCTTGCTGAAGAAGGGGGACATAGTTTTTGTTGGATGAAATCCACTTCTTCTTACAGTGCTGCTTTTGAAGCTGCTCTATACAGCTCTTTTTCATCTTCAACATTGCAGTTGGAAAAGAGCCACTTCTGGGGAGGCTTTGAATATCCTTTGTGACCCTCTTCTTCTCCTTTGCACCATAATATTGGAAGTGCAAAGAAGAAGGGGGAGGATCATGAAGGGTTTTATGAACTGGCTCTTCTCCTTTGCAACTCTGACATTGGTGGAAATGGAAGTGGAGAGAAGTATTTAGTGAGATCACTAAGCCCTTTCCCAGCAAAGATAAAGAGCCCCTGACAGTTAAGTCTAGTTACGGTCGACTCTGGGGTTGCGGTGCTCATCTTGGTTTACAAGCCGAGCGAGCCGGTGTTTGTCCGCAGACAGTTTTTCCGGGTCATGTGGCTAGCAGAACTAAGCCGCTTCTGGCGCAACAGAACACCGAAACCAGAGCAGTGCAGGGAAACGTTGTTTACCTTCCCGCCGCAGCGGTACCTATTTATCTACTTGCACTTTTTGGCGTGCTTTTGAACTGCTAGGTTGACAGGAGCTGTGACCGAGCAACGGGAGTTCACCACAGGGGTTCAAACCATCGACCTTCTGATCGGCAAGCCCAAGAGGCTCGGTGATTTAGACCACAGCCCTTTTCTAGACTCCTACTTCAACTTCTGATGTTGCTGGTGTTGCAGAAAGAAGCATCAGAAGTTCACCCTCCTGAGAGGCCTACAGCAGATCCATACTTTCCACTCCACCACCCTCTAAATACCTGGGATGGAGAGTAAGGGTTTGAATTCTACCTTTCATCATGTCAATACATTTCAGTGGGTCTACTCTGAATATGACTTAGTTGGAGTCCACCAATACGATTCTGTGTGGACTTTTCCTTTCAGCTCAAGTTTTCTTGGCGTAGGATCTGTGGGATTTGTTCAGACACAGTCTGCAGCTTTGAGTTTGGGGGCTTGAGGGGACTGTGGAATCAGATGCATATGACCCCAAGGATACCTGCAACAAGGCTGGCTATGGCTGAGGTCCTGGCCCGGGAGAGGAAGCCAAACTGGAAGTCAAAAAATGTTCCACAAAGAATAATGCAAGAGATGGCTCCAGCGATCATCCCGAAGAACATGAACGCTCGGGTGGCATGGATGAAACCTTGAAGGAAGGAAGCGAAAGGAAGAAGGGGGTTAAATGCCCATAACAGCCAGGGAAACCAACAGTAGGCAGTGCCAGAGGCCATGCCAGGCAGAGCCAACCCCTGGCAGGTGGGGGTTGGCAGTGCCCCATTTGCCCTAATGGATCAGGCTCTAATAATAATAATAATAATAATAATAATAATAATTTATTTATACCCCGCCCATCTGGCTGAGTTTCCCCAGCCACTCTGGGCGGCTTCCAATTGAATGTTAAAAACAATACAGCATTAAATATTAAAAACTTCCCTAAACAGGGCTGCCTTCAGATGTCTTTTAAAGATAAGATAGCTTCTTATTTCCTTCACATCTGAAGGGAGGGTGTTCCACAGGGCAGGTGCCACTACCGAGAAGGCCCTCTGTCTGGTTCCCTGTAACCTCACTTCTCGCAATGAGGGAACCGCCAGAAGGCCCTCGGCACTGGATCTCAGTGTCCGGGCTGAACAATGGGGGTGGAGATGCTCCTTCAGGTATACAGGACCGAGGCCATTTAGGGCTTTAAAGGTCAGCACCAACATTTTGAATTGTGCTTGGAAACATACTGGGAGCCAATGCAGATCTCTCAGGACCGGTGTTATGTGGTCCCGGTGGCCACTCCCAGTCACCAGTCTAGCTGCCGCATTCTGGATTAATTGCAGTTTCCAGGTCACCTTCAAAGGTAGCCCCACGTGGAGTGCATTGCAATAGTCCAAGCGGGAGATAACTAGAGCATGCACCACTCTGGCAAGACAGTGATTGGGCAGGTATGGTCTCAGCCTGCGTACCAGGTGGAGCTGGTAGACAGCCGCCCTGGACACAGAATTGACCTGCGCCTCCATGGACAGCTGTGAGTCCAAAATGACTCCCAGGCTGTGCACCTGGTCCTTCAGGAACACAGTTACCCCATTCAGGACCAGGGAGTCCCCCACACCCACCTGCCCCCTGTCCCCCCAAAACAGTACTTCTGTCTTGTCAGGATTCAACTTCAATCCATTAGCCGCCATCCATCCTCCAACCACCTCCAGACACTCACTCAGGACCTTCACTGCCTTCACTGGTTCTGATTTAAAAGAGAGGTAGAGCTGGGTGTCATCTGCATACTGATGAACACCCAGCCGAAACCCCCTATTACTCAGCACCATGATTATTTTATTTATTTAGGAATATCCCTACCCCACCTACTAACCAAAGTTCTTGAGGCAGGTTACAATAAGTTCAGAACACTATTTTAAAAAGGCAGTGGTGCAATCATCAAAACAGCACAGAGTCTCCCCTAACCCCTGTTCTCCAGAGTTCCAGGAAATGCCAGCCTGCAGCTGCATCATCAGTATGTCCTCACTGGGTGGCTGCTGTTGTCTCTCACAGCCCCAGCCCTCCTGGCAGATGCAGGAGTTGCTGGTTCACGTACTTGACATTTCAAGCACTGCAGTAGTTCATTTGACGGACCCATGTGCATCCCTTCTGTGCAAGGAAGGAATTTTTGGCTTGAAGGAGCAGTGCAGTGTCTTTTGGCTGAATCTCAGGCAACCCCTTGGGCAGCATTCGCCACAGATTTCATACTCTAAGTCAGGGAAGGAAAACACTTCCTGGCAGAGAAACAGCTGTGTTCCAAAGGAGATGTGGGAACTTGCATCCTCACGCCCTCACCAGCTACTTGTTTACACTCCAATCATGGCCAGAAGCTCATTGCGACTGCGCCAAGTCTCCCCATAACCCTCCCCATTGCAGTGAAGGCGTACTGTCATTGGTGATGCTTCAGGCCTGACATTGCAGTGCTGGTGTACTTGCAGGTGGCAGCTACCGCAAGCAGGAAGCTACGGAAGAAGAAGCACTTTCTGTTTTGCCTCAAGTGCCGAAACCTCTCAGTCCGACCCTACATAAATTATACCATAGTAAAGGCAGCAGTGGGACTCACTGCTGCAGATTACTGTCACCTATTTCTTTGCTTCCCACAGCAGCCATTTTGTGCTGGCTTCCAGGGCATATTTATCAAAATATGATTCCCAGTGCCTAAGACAGAATAAATATGTTATCCCTAGTCACACCGGACTTTCAGGGAGTTGAAGAATAATCAAGTGCCCCACATACTGCTGCATGCCTTAGAAATGGAGATCAGTTCAATCAGCTTTGGAATACCGCACCTTAAGTACTCCTAGCACAAGACAGAGAAGATATTACCTGCCGCAGCCATCCCAATATGTCTGCAAGTAGGCATACACAAATTCCAGAGGCCACTGTTTGCATTGCCAATTTGCAGCCAGTAGTCTGAGCCCAGGGCGATAAGGAGGAAGAGAAGGCTGATGAAAGCACAAATCACAGCGCTGATCTGTAGGATATGCATTGTGAGAACTGTCAGATCTGTGACTGAGGAGCACAATAGGGATGATGAACCTGGGGAAAGGAGACATCCACATTATTCCACATCAGTTGCAGTTTGTGTTCAGGTGTGCTTTAAAGATGCGCATATGCTCAAAGGCCTGCAACAGAATGTACTGTCCTGGACAGAAGAGGTTTTCAGGCTGCGCAGACTTTGACAGGCATTTAGAATTTATGTTCTGGGTTCTGAGGGCAGTTTGCAAAACCTGGGACCTCCTTCTCCACCCTGTTCTCATAAAGGGTATATATTATACATCATGTGTATTGCTTAGTGCAATAAACTTTATGTATAATATGTAAAGTACACGTCATTCTTGCCCGCATTCCAGAAAAAGCTACGAGCTGCCCAAGGGAGGAGGCAGGCAGCGGCAGACACAGAGAGGCAACGGGGTGCTCCCTCACAACTGCTGCCATTGCTCGGGACAAGCGCCAGCTCATTCTCCTTCCTGAGCTCAGTGGTGGCAGCACTGGCAGGGGAAATAGGGACATTGTGGGATCAAATCAGTAGCCAGGCGAGGCAAGAAGCCACGAATTAAATATAAATTATTAACAGATATAAAGGAAAGAGGGGGCTTCGCCTTGCCAGATCTGAAACTCTATTATGAAGCCTCATGTTTATGTTGACTAAAAGAATGGATGACATTGAAAAATACAGATATATTGGACATAGAAGGATGGGACAACAGATATGGATGGCATGTTGGATGGCACGGATATCTAGGTTATGATAAAGCAAAAGTACATAGGGGTTTTTTAAACCATATAATTCAAAACTCTCTATTTACAATATGGGTCAGAGATAAAGACTTTGCATATATAAAGACACCTTGGTGGCTTTCACCAATGGAGGTCTTTTCGGTAAAGAGAAAAAATATGGATCCAAATTGGGCAACATATAGAGAAATTCTAAAAGAAGAACAAAGCCAATTAAAACTGAAAAAATTTAAAGCAATTAGACATTATTGTACGGATTGGTTACAATATCATCCATTAAATGATGTGTTTAAATTAGATAAGAAAATTGGATTTGAAAAAGAGATATCAAAATTAGAAAAGGAATTATTACAGAATAAAAAGAAAATATTATCAAAACATATAGATTATTGCTGGATTGGGAGGTAGAGGATGGGGAGATCAAAGAAGTGATGATCAAATGGGCAAAAGATTTTGGATATCCTATCTAGATGGAGGATTGGGAAAAACTGTGGCAAAAAGACTTAAAATTCATGGCCTGCTATACAATAAAGGAAAATTTCATGAAAATGCTGTATAGGTGGTACATGACCCCCAGAAAATTGGCTAAAATATATAAATCAAAATCAAATGTTTGCTGGATGTGTAATCAGGGGGAAGGAACAATGTGCCACATGTGGTGGGGTTGGGATAAAATATTTTGGAATACTGTCTATGATGAAGTTTAAAAAATGTTTAGACAAACATTTGGGAAAACAAACAAACCCTGAAGCCTTTCTCCTAGGCATTATGTGAATCAATATCCCAAAGGATAAGAAAAATGTCTTCTTCTATGCTACAACCGCAGCAAAAATGTTAATTGCAAAGAATTGGAAAGGGGAGACTACACCAACAAAGGGAGAATAGCAAAATAAACTGTGTGAATATTTGGAATTGGCAAAAATTAAAGCGGCAATAGGGTATCAACCCTACCAAAAACTTTAAAAGGAATGGGAATGTGTAAATGGCTATTTGGGAAAACATTGTTCCCAACACAACACAATTTCACCACTGAAACTATATTAGCATTTCAGCTTTCTCCAAGGTCTGGGGGTAGGGGGAATCCAAAATTCTCATCTTTAATCTGGATTCCATCCTGCCAAGTTCCTATCCAGGAACTGTGCTGGTAATGCAGAATTTCAAAGTCTGGGGCAGAATTCACTTGAGCCAGATTCATTCTCAGGATGACCAAACTGTCAATCCTACTCAGGGATTTTTGCACCTTATGCTGGTGCCGCCATGTTTTTTTTCCTTGAATAAGTTTTAGGTCTCCTTCCAGATCAAGAAAAAGCATTTAGTAGATCACTGAAACAAGGGATCAAGGAAAAAGAAAAGAAAGTCTAAATGAAGTACCTAAATGAAATAATGTACTGCTTAACCACTTTGTGCTGCTACCGCCAGGGGCGAACGAAGGCTAACCGACACGCAGGGCGGGGCAAACCACCGGCTGCGCACGCATTGCGCCACTATATACAACGCATGTGTGGCGTTGCTATGTAGGGCACATGTGTGGCGCCACTATGTACAGCACATGTGTGCGACACCGTGCATGCGTTGTTGTAGCGGTTTGCTGCCGGCGCCACTCGAACACCACATGGGTGGTGGCGGGATCCTCTGCTTGCGCCTGCAGCTGTGAACGGAGGATCTTCCACATTTGGCGCGATGGTTGCTCACACTGCTGAGCCCAGGGGAGGCAGGCCGAGCACCCCACCGGGTACCTTCTTGTCACCCTCCCCCCAGACATGGCACCTGCCCCCCTTGTGATGCCACTGGCTACCACCACCTCCCTTCCCCACCCACCCCCTCTGTAGGTTTGTTCAGCTTGATGGCACACCAACATTTCATGGTGCACAGATCCAGAGGTTGGGAATGGGTCTCTAGGTGTGGCTCTCTGTGACTGCCTAGTGATGCCAACTCTGGTTGACAAGCTGGTGAATGATTTCTCCAAATGGGTCTCCTTTGCCTTTTGATGCTGTTTGCCTTCCATAGAGCAATAATAGAGCTCCAATCTGCATGCAGTTCCAGGACTGCTTCACTTTCAAAAGTGGATCGAACAAATGCATCAGCAAAGTAGGCATCATCGAAATTAGAACAAAGAAGTCCAGTGCAATAAAATAAAATAAAATCGTTTTTAGTCCCTTTCATTTGTTCCCTGTATCAAAATTCACCAACCATCAGCTACTGAAAAATTTCCATTTCCCTCCCGCATAAATCTAGAGAAGTTTAATCCCACCTGGCTCAGAATGCCTTCCTCTTTTCTTCAGGTGTAGTCTTCACTCTGGAACAAGGGCCAGGCATGCTCTGACTTCACCACCCATGGGAGTGCACTTTTCCCCTCTGCCAGAGGCGGGGGAAACTATTTGGAAGGTCCGCCCCCAGAGGCTGATGGATCCAGCGGGATTCCAAACGGTTTTGGGAGGTTTTCTGGCTGATATGACTGGTGCCCGTGTCGAAGCTCTGGGTGACCTCTGGAACACCTGAATGGCTTGGGCTATTGATATGATTACTCTGAAAGCCCTCTCCCACTTTGTGGAGCCGGAAACTGATTTACATCACAATTTTATTTCTTATTTATTTAAGACATTCCTACACCGCTTAATCATTTACCTTTTCAAGCAGTGGGCATTTTTAGAAAACCAACTTACGGGATACAGGAACATCAAACAATAAAGATGTATCATAAAACCAGCCACTACCTTAAAATGCACAATGAAACAGTACTCCAGAGCTTAGGACGAGGAAACAAGCTGGGAAATGGCTTGAACGCAAGTGGAGGAAAGATCCATATGAATGCAACCAAACACTCGTAAGGTTTCCTCTATGCTGAAGCTTCATCTGTTGATTTCTGAACACAGAGGCAGCATTCATGAGTACTCCAGAGCTTAAGCTTAGGACGAGGAAACAAGCTGGGAGACAGTTTGGACACAAGTGGAGGAAAGACCCAAACACTGGTAAGGGCTCATTATCGAGCTGACCTAGAGGCAGTGAAGGCAGCAAAGAAGGCACACTTTGCTGCCTCCGTTGCATCCTCATTATGTCGTCAGGCAGAGCTTTTCTGGGGTGTATCCTGGCCCAAAGGAGGTGATAGAACCAACGGTAGCTCTTTGTGACTTGTTTGTGAAGCATTTTGAGAATAAAATCACTTGCATCCACCCAAATCTTGGCTCTGCTGTTATAGCAGATGAATCTCACTATGAGTGGCATCTGCATCTGCAGACCTGTCCAGAGCGAAATCTACACTTGCTGGTTTCTGCAGATCAAACCATAGCTAAAGACACAGGAAGAAGCCAGGGCATAAATTCTTATCTCCCCCTGGCCAGCTGGCACTACTATAATTAGATCTAACTGCTAGGAGCAGGGTAAGGAGTGGAGGCAGTGGACCAGATGTCTGGCTCATCAGCTTGAGGTTCCCAGACCTGCTCAGATGCTTTCCTCATTGTAGCTTCTTTATTATAAAATCATAGAATTGTAGAGTCACCTAGCCGCAAGGGTCATCTAGTCCAACCCCCTGTAATCTTTGGCCCAAATGGGACTCGAACCCAAGACCTTGAGATTAAGATTCTCATGCTCTACCAACTGTTCAGCTGAGTCAACATCAATACCCATTGGCTTGGGGGGGGGGGAGATTTTCATTAAAGCTTTGGGGGGGGGGACATAGAAAAAGCAATATACAACAGTTTCCTTCAAATAAGTTTTTTGCAAAAATATTTGGAGGAATAAATAGGCTGTGTGTGGGAACCTTCTGTTAAAGAGAAAGTCACATCCAAGAAGACTGATTCAAATGCCAGAAGTACTGTGAATTTCGGACACAATGGAGATGAAAAGATTTGGATTATTATAGAATACACAGGAGGAAAGTACTAACAATAGGACCCAGAAATGGGAGGAGGGAAGTCCAGGAGATTCTGTGGAATCTTATTTCTATATTGTATATTGATATGTTATTGTAAAATTTTAATTTGAAAAAACCAAATAAATAAATTTACAATATAATTATAATAATGTTCATCATCATTCTTAACTGGTAATAGCAGCATACATTAAGCAAATCATATTTTCCCTGCCAATTGGAGAAGTTCTGTTCAACACCGATCAGTAAATAACTCCCATTTTCTTAACCACTTTGCTGGACTTATAAAAATGTCAGTTTTGTCATTAAAGTTGCCATACATCCGGAATTTCCCAGACATAGCAGGTATTCGGTTCATGTCAGAAGTGTAGATCTCAGCAAATTTCAGTAAAGATAGCTCAAAAACCCTTAGGGGTTTAGCAAAGAAAGATCAACAACTTTGGCTAAAAAGACAAACAAAAAGCCTCAACAACTTTGACAGAAGTTCAACAACTTTTGTGTCTGGATTTTCACTTTTTGAAATATGGCAGCCCTACATTATATTCAATTCCCCCCAGCTCCAACTCGCCCCAGTGCAGGCTGGGTCTGTGTGCCCCAGGTGTCATCTGAAGTGGAAGCACAGCCTTTTCTTCATGCTGCTGTTGACACAGCCCTATCCAAGGCGAAAGCCAGCCCACCTGTCAGGAGAGAAAAGGGGCTGGTTAAGGCATCAGGGGGAGCAGAATCAAACTCCATTCAAGATATCTGGACTGCTGAGCTCGTTTCCTAATCAGTGAGGTCCCAAATTGCCATTCTAGAAGGCAAAAATATATTCTTTTCCACAGAACTACATGGTGCATTTTGAATCTTCTGCATGGAATACACACCTGCTTTCAACTGTGTTCAAATGGACACACTGTAGAGAAGCCCCAAACTGTTCTGAGCTAAATAACGCAGCAGACTACTCTACACAAAGGTAAACCTTTAAATAAAGATGTACATTTCCAGCATTCGACAAATACTCACCAGTTATGAGGAAGAGAGGAAAGGTCGCCCAGCCCAAGCCAAATGACCATCCATAATACCAGGTAGAACTGCTGATTGCTGCCGCTGTACGCCCTGTGAAGATGGCCATGGCAATCAGGACGCAACCAGCTAGGAAGAAAAAATATGTCAGGATATCAAGTTACTTGTTAATTAAATCCTTGATGCTGAGCTGGAAGCTGCAGTTAGTGCAAAATGGAGAGGATCAACTACTCACTGAGGTGGAATATGACCAACATATATACTGCGGCTGAAAGAAATGCACTGGCTGCCAATCAGCCCCTGTACAAGGTTCAAAATTAGTGTACAAAGCTCTATACTGTCATACCTTGGTTGTCAAAGGGAATCTGTTCAACTTCCAAAAACATTGGACAACCAAGACACGGCTTCCGATTGGCTGCAAGTGTCTACAGCTCTGATTTCTGGGGTTTCAGGGGCTTGGGCTTAGTGTGGACGCAGATGCTCAGAACCCCCATGATACCTGCAACAAGACTGGCTTTAGCGGAGTTCTTGGTCTTGGAGATGAAGCCAAGTTGGAAGGAAAAGAAGTTGCAACAAAGGCCAATGCAAGAGATGGCTCCAGCAATCATCCCGAAGAACATGAAGGCTCGGGTAGCATGGTAGAAACCTTTTGGGAAGGAAGGAAGAGAAAGAAAAAAGGTTAAATGCATCTGTGGGATTTGACAATAGCCCTGCAGACATCCCATGTAATACTTTCCACCAGGGATGAGTAGATCAGTTTTTATCTGACACATACCAGTTTTGCATGCTCTCTGTCCTGTTTCTGAATTAATCTGTATTTTTTTAATAGAAAAGTCAAAATAAATATTCACATTTAAAGGAATCTACAACAACAAAAAAGTATTTAAATGCCTTGAGGGCACGATTTCCTGATGGTGCTTCTACTCCTACCTGCTTGGTCAGTCCTGAAAGGGGGGATGTCACCAGTGGTGGCTGATGCATATGAGTACTGGTAGGGCAGATGGCAGGAAGACCAAAAGTAAGTGGAGCAAGAGGGAATGTCAGACACAGCCAACCCGTGGTAGGTGGGTGTTGGCTGAAAGCAGACGGACGTTGGTGGACCAATGCTCCATTTCCCCTAATGGGCCGGCCTCCTATTACTCAGCACCATGGTTACTGGCCTGTTGCATAACCCACTGCACTCCACAGGGGTTCATTCTTTCCCCCATGCTGGTTCATATCTCTGTTAAGCTGCTGAGAGATGCCATCAGGAGATGAAACTGGTTTAGTCTGTATTGTTCTAAGTATCCTTTGAAGCTTATCATAGGTTTGCCAACTTGAAGACTAGCTGTGGTAGGGAAACATCTCTTCTGTGCAACTTGCCCAACGCCACCCATCTTCTCCTGCAATGCACAGCTTCACAGAACTGAAAAAAGACACACCCAATTCACACTGAGTGACATCGGGGCCCAGTAAACCTGCCAAGAGCACAGTGCAAATTGAGTGTGCAGTCCAAAGCACTCCCAGGATCCTTTGCAACATGCAAGGTTGTATATAAGGTAGGGGCGTCTTGGCAGACAAAAAAAACTGGCTTCCTGACAACATATATTAAAAATCAGAGGCAAGAGGGGGTTTTTTTGTGGAAAGTGGGGACTCATCTACACTGGTCAATTATAATGTTAAAAATGTGTTCTTAAAATGTGACACGAGAGGGCACCGTAGAGCAGTGATCCATCGTCAATGGTAAACAGCATTGAGAGCTATAGTTTTTATAGTGTTTTTATAGCATTTTTCATATCTGTGTAGATCCAGCCTCAGTGGTAAGAACTACCATCTCCTTTTAATTTTTTTGCTGCCCACCCACAGCAGCCATTTTGTGTTGGCACCCAGGGTTGAGGAAGGATCAACTGGGCCCCCCACTGCTGCATACCTTAGAAATGAACCTCAGTTCAATCAGCTTTGGAATACCACACCTTAAATACTCCTAGCACAAGACAGAGAAGAGCTTACCTTGTACGGCATTAATCGAAGGTGAGTAACAAGTATAGATCGAAAAGACAGGGCCGCAAGCTACCCAGAGGCCACTGTTTGCATTGTCACTTTGCAGCCAGTAGTCTGAGCCCAGGGCAATGAGGAGGAGGAGAAGGCTGATGAAAGCACAAACCACAGTGCTGATCTGCAGTATATGCATTGTGAGAATGGTCAGATGTGAGACTGAGGAGCACAATAGGGATGATGAACCTGGGGAAAGGAGACATCCACATTATTCCACATCAGTTTCAGTTTGTGTTCAGGTGTGCTTTAAAGATGCGCATATGCTCAAAGGCCTGCAACAGAATGTACTGTCCTGGACAGAAGAGGTTTTCAGGCTGCGCAGACTTTGACAGGCATTTAGAATTTATGTTCTGGGTTCTGAGGGCAGTTTGCAAAACCTGGGACCTCCTTCTCCACCCTGTTCTCATAAAGGGTATATATTATACATCATGTGTATTGCTTAGTGCAATAAACTTTATGTATAATATGTAAAGTACATGTCATTCTTGCCCGCTTTCCAGAAACAGCTACGAGCTGCCCAAGGGAGGAGGCAGGCATCGGCAGACACAGAGAGGCAACGGGGTGCTCCCTCACAACTGCTGCCATTGCTCGGGACAAGCGCCAGCTCATTCTCCTTCCTGAGCTCGGTGGTGGCAGCACTGGCAGGGGAAATAGGGACATTATGGGATCAAATCAGTAGCCAGGCAAGGCAAGAAGCCACGAATTAAATATAAATTATTAAGAGATATAAAGGAAAGAGGGGGCTTCGCCTTGCCAGATCTGAAACTCTATTATGAAGCCTCATGTTTATGTTGACTAAAAGAATGGATGACATTGAAAAATACAGATATATTGGATATAGAAGGATGGGACAACAGATACGGATGGCATGTTGGATGGCACGCATATCTAGGTTACGATAAAGCAAAAGTACATAGGGAGGTTTTAAACTGTATAATTCAAAAATCTCTATACACAGTATAGAGATGGAGGCCTTTTCAGTAAAGAGAAAAAATATGGAACCAAATTGGGCAACATATAAAGAAGAACAAAGCCAATTAAAACTGGAGAATTTTGAAGCTATTAGACATTATTGTACAGATTGGTTACAATATCATCCATTAAATGAGGTGTTTAAATTTGGGGGGAAAATGGATTTGAAAATGAGATATATCAAAATTAGAAAAGGAATTATTACAGAACAAAAGGAAAATATCATCAAAAACATATAGATTATTGCTTGATTGTGAAGTAGAGGACGAAGAGATCAAAGAAGTGATGATCAAATGGGCAAAAGATTTTGGATATCATTTCCAGATGGAGGATTGAGAAAGATTGTAGCAAAAAGACTAAAAATTCACAGCCGGCTATAGAATAAAGGAAAATTTCATGAAAATCTTGTATAGGTGGTACATGACCTCCAGAAAATTGGCTAAAATATATAAATCAAAATCAAACGTTTGGTGGATGTGTAATCAGGGGGAAGGAACAATGTACCACATGTGGTGGGGTTGTGATAAAATCAAAATATTTTGGAATACTGTCTATGACAAATTTTAAAAAATGTTTAGACAAACATTTGGGAAAACAAACAAACCCTGAAGCCTTTCTCCTAGGCATTATGTGAATCAATATCCCAAAGGATAAGAAAAATGTGTTCTTGTATGCTACAACCGCAGCAAGAATGTTAATTGCAAAGAATTGGAAAGGGGAGACTACACCAACAAAGGGAGAATAGCAAAATAAACTGTGTGAATATTTCCAATTGGCAAGAATGACAGCAGCAATAAAGTATCAACTCTACCAAAAACTTTAAAAGGAATGGGAATGTGTAAATTGCTATTATGTGTTGAATAAATTTCACAAAGTCACAATAGATATGTTATATATTTTGTGAACTTTCAACCATATGCATACCAAACATGTTCTTTACCTCTATTTTTTCAGTCTCCTCTTTTTGCCTTTTATGGTTTCCCTGTTGCCCTGTTATTGAAAGGACACAGATTAGTGACAGGCTCTAGCTTATATGGCCACCTCCTCCTGTGTTCTGTAACTTCGTCTTTGTCTCCAGAAATGAGTGAGCAATTGTGTCCTCAATGCTGAAGCTTCATCTGTTGATTTCTGAACACAGAGGCAGCATTCATGAGTATTAGGCACTGACGGTTACAATATACATGGACTTGTGTCTGGTTCCTCTCTAATAGCTTTATATCCTCTTCCCAAGACTGCATCTTACTGAGCGAAATATGCCTTAGGTATGATCCAGATGGCCGTTTCTTTCCCTGCTCCTTTTCCAGGGAAAACTTGCTCTTTTGCTTTAAATCTGAGCAAACGGCAAAACAGCAATCCAAAGAAAGCCCGAAGTGCTGTTTGCTCTGATTGAAGGCTAAAGAGTTGTTTTTCCCAGGGGAAAGCAGGAGGACAAGAGGAAGTGTGGATAAACTCTCAGCTTTGCTGGATATTGGTATTTAAGCTCTCTATCAACCTATCTATCCGGGACTGGTGGCTTTGCCTATTTCCAGTGGATGGCAGCTTCATGGGCACTTAAGAGATCCATTCTGTACCATTTTCTGTAGATAACAAAAAGCAGCAACATTTCACATCTAAATTGTATGCCCTTTCTCCTAAAGTACACATTTTATACTCATCCATCCCACCCAACCAAATATACATTCTGTATGCTCCGAAATGCATTTCTGCCGTAAAATGCACATTTTTGTACTAGAACCGAGCCACAAAATTCAAAGACATGTCTAATCCAATGGATAGCTGTGCTCCAGTCTGCATACAGATCCAGGACTGCTTCACTTTCAAAAGTGGATCGAAGAAATGTATCAGCAAAGTTGGCATCGTCAAAATTAGAACAAAGACGTTTATATGTAGTCCAGTGCAAAAATAAAATAAATCGCATTGAGTCCCTCTCATTTGTTCCCTGTATCAAAATTCACCAAAAAATCAGCTACTGAAAAATTTCCCTTTCCCTCCCGCTTAAATCTAGAGATGTTTAATCCCACCTGGCTCAGAATGCCTTCCTCTTTTCTTCAGGTGAAGTCTTCACTCTGGAACAAGGGCCAGGCATGCTCTGATGCCACCACTCATGGGAGTGCACTTTTCCCCTCTGCAGAGGTGGGGGAACCTATTCGGAAGGTCCGCCCCCAGAGGCTGATGGATCCAGTGGGATTCCAATTGCTTCTAAGAGGTTTTCTGGCTGATATGACTGGCGCCCTGTCAAAGCTCTGGCTGACACGATCAGCCAGAGCTCCCTCTCCTACTTTGTGGAGCTCATTTGCCCCCCTGTTATACTCCAGAGCTTAGGACGAGGAAACAAGCTGGAAAATGGCTTGAACGCAAGTGGAGGAAAGATCCATATGAATGCAACCAAACACTGGTAAGGTGTCCTCTATGCTGAAGCTTCATCTGTTGATTTCTGAACACAGAGGCAGCATTCATGAGTACTCCAGAGCTTAGGATGAGGAAACAAGCTGGGAGACAGTTTGGACACAAGTGGAGGAAAGACCCGAACACTGGTAAGGGCTCATTATCGAGCCGACCTAGAGGCAGTGAAGGCAGCAAAGAAGGCACACTTTGCTGCCTCCGTTGCAACCTCATTATGTCGTCAGGCAGAGCTTTTCTGGGGTGTATCCTGGCCCAAAGGAGGCGATAGAACCAACGGTAGCTCTTTGTGACTTGTTTGTGAAGCATTTTGAGAATAAAATCACTTGCATCCACCCAAATCTTGTCTCTGCTGTTATAGCAGATGAATCTCACTATGAGTGGCATCTGCATCTGCAGACCTGTCCAGAGCGAAATCTACACTTGCTGGTTTCTGCAAATCAAACCACAGCTAAATACACAGGAAGAAGCCAGGGCATAAATTCTTATCTCCCCCTGGCCAGCTGGCACTACTATAATTAGATCTAACTGCTAGGAGCAGGGTAAGGAGTGGAGGCAGTGGACCAGATGTCTGGCTCATCAGCTTGAGGTTCCCAGACCTGCTCAGATGCTTTCCTCATTGTAGCTTCTTTATTATAAAATCATAGAATTGTAGAGTCACCTAGCCGCAAGGGTCATCTAGTCCAACCCCCTGCATTGTTTGGCCCAAATAGGAATCGAACCTAAGACCTTGAGATTAAGATTCTCATGCTCTACCAACTGTTCAGTTGAGTCAACATCAATACCCATTGGCTTTGGGGGGGGGGGAGATTTTCATTAAAACCTGGGAGGCACAGAAAAAGCAATATACAACAATTTCTATCAAATGCAAAGCATTTTTTAAAACATAACAACTAAAAGAAAGAAAATAAAGAAGAAACAAGAAAAGAAAGGGGGTGGGAAGACTTCTGGTGCTCTGTCAGCTTTACAGACATATGCATAACCCTTGCTCGACAATAACACACAACTCTTCTGCTTTCCGTAGAACTGGGCCTGCTAGTTAGGCATAGCTGTCAACTTTCAGATTTGAAAATAAGGGGTCAGCAGCGTCACCTGTCCCGGGGACAGTCTACGGGATATCTAACAATCCGGGATAGAAGCGGGAAGCAGTAGGAAACGGCACTGGAATATGGGAATTTCCTGCAACAAAAGGGAAGGTTGCCAGCTATGCAGTTAGGGATGATGGGAGTTGTAGTCCAACAACAGCTGGAGACCAAACTTTAGCAAACCCTGGTCTAGAGATGGATCACAATCTTTCCTCTCCACTTATCTATAATTCAGAGACTGTAAGCTTCACGGTGCCAACTCTGTGTTAAATGAAGAGAAGAATCTGCCAAACACAGGTTTCCTGTCCCTGTTTGAGAGCAACTCATGAAACTCTGAGAGTATTTGGATGTTGTGTTTATTTCATTTATTTTTAAAATCATTTTGCACACAGTAGTCACTGAGAGAAAAATTAAGCATGTGTAGTGGGTATTTGTTTTTCCAAATACTTCCATTTGAGGTAAATTTAGAAAGCTTACTCAAGGTGCCTCCAGACTGTGTACCCTACATTTGGGGTTGCACATAAATAATGTGGGTTAAAGCCATCTATTAACCTGGGGGGGGGATCCATTTTTAAAAATAATAATAATAAAGAAATCAGGGTTATAGCCAATGTTAACCTATAACATAGGCTCATTAATTTCGATGAATCTACTCTGAATGGAATTCAGTGGGGAAAACCCAGACTTTGTGTGATTGGGGAGGAGTGCTGGGAAATGCATTGACAAGTGAGAAATGAGTGAATTATTACTGGGAACACATATAAACACTTGAGAAACAAATCAGGGTGAAGGCAGGATGAATGCTTGTTGTAATATGACTCCCCAAGAAAGATCAGGATGGATGCTGAATGAACTAACCTCCACATAAGTTTTCTGCAAGTACATTGGGAGGAATAAATAGGCTGTGTGTGGAACCTTCTGTTAAAGAGAAAGTTACATCCAAGAAGTCAGATTCAAATGCCAGAAGAACTGCTTTTCGCCCAAAATTTGCATGGGGGAAAGAAAGAGCCACATGTCAAGGGATGGAGACGAGAGAGGTTCCATTGCTTCCTATGACTTTGCAGGGAAATCTGCTGGGAGCAAAATTAGACCTCTTGATTCTAAATCCAAACCCACACTTTCACCCTTATAACCAGGCTTCAGAATCTGTGTGCATATACATACACACACACACACACACACACACACACATAAATATATATATGCTTTGAATGTTGAGTTGGACAAAAGTGTCTACTCTGTGGTTCAAAAATGCATGAAAAATCTTATCAATAAGATGTGACCATCGGCACTAGGATAAATAGGTTATAATAAGAACATTGCCTCCACATTTTGATTTTCAACTTTCTTTATAGCTATCCCATTGACCTTTTTTTGTTTTGTTTAAAGGAAGTTAAAAGTCTGGGCCTCCTGCTGTGTGGGAGGATGAAAGTGATGATGAACTATAAATTGCTCAAAGTTCTACCCCAAAATAAACTTAATTCATCTTTAGTTCACTCAGCAACCCTGAAAACTACTTTCAGGTCTAACTCAGAGATATTTGAAGGAGTTCAGTGAACTACATTATGCTATCCGTCTGCTCATTATCCACAAATTCACTTATCCAAACACAAAGAATTGTACCCAAACCTGGAATGTCCTGCTTTTCCTTAGGATATCCTTATTTTCATCAGAGAAATGTTGAAGGGTATGGTAGGATGTTCTATTTTCACTGGAGAGATGTTGGAGGGTATGAACCCGAGCCGAGGAGATAAGTAACTATAACCTTTATAAGACATCTGAAGGTAGCCCTGTATATATGTCGGAAGCCACCCAGAGTGACCGGGAGAAAACAGTCAAATGGGCTAGGTATAAACATTATTAGTAGTGGTAGTAGTAATAATAATAGTAGTAGTATTGCATATGACATCCCCATTTTCATTGGAGAAATGTTGGAAGGTATGAATCTGCTGTAGGCCTCTCAGGACATGTGCAACTTTACAGAAAAAACTAATCATAGCCTGCAACGGATGTGGAATAATGTGAATGTCTCCTTTCCCCAGGTTCATCATCCCTATTGTGCTCCTCAGTCACGGATCTGACCGTTCTCACAATGCGTATACTGCAGATCAGCGCCGTGGTTTGTGCTTTCATCAGCCTTCTGCTGCTCCTCATTGCCCTGAATCATAGAATCATAGAATCATAGAATCATAGAGTTGGAAGAGACCACAAGGGCCATCGAGTCCAACCCACTGCCAAGCAGGAAACACCATCAGAGCACTCCTGACATATGGCTGTCAAGCCTCTGCTTAAAGACCTCCAAAGAAGGAGACTCCACCACACTCCTTGGCAGCAAATTCCACTGTCAAACAGCTCTTACTGTCAGGAAGTTCTTCCTAATGTTTAGGTGGAATCTTCTTTCTTGTAGTTTGGATCCATTGCTCCGTGTCCGCTTCTCTGGAGCAGCAGAAAACAACCTTTCTCCCTCCTCTATGTGACATCCTTTTATATATTTGAACATGGCTACCATATCACCCCTTAACCTCCTCTTCTCCAGGCTAAACATGCCCAGCTCCCTTAGCCGTTCCTCATAAGGCATCGTTTCCAGGCCTTTGACCATTTTGGTTGCCCTCCTCTGGACACGTTCCAGTTTGTCAGTGTCCTTCTTGAACTGTGGTGCCCAGAACTGGACACAGTACTCCAGGTGAGGTCTGACCAGAGCAGAATACAGTGGCACTATTACTTCTCTTGATCTAGATGCTATACTCCTATTGATGCAGCCCAGAATTGCATTGGCTTTTTAAGCTGCCACGTCACACTGTTGGCTCATGTCAAGTTTGTGGTCAACCAAGACTCCTAGATCCTTTTCACATGTACTGCTCTCAAGCCAGGTGTCACCCATCTTGTATTTGTGCCTCTCCTGTTTTTTGCCCAAGTGCAATACTTTACATTTCTCCCTGTTAAAATTCATCTTGTTTGTTTTGGCCCAGTTCTCTAATCTGTCAAGGTCGTTTTGAAGTGTGATCCTGTCCTCTAGGGTGTTAGCCACCCCTCCCAGTTTGGTGTCATCTGCAAATTTGATCAGGATGCCCTTGAGTCCATCATCCAAGTCGTTGATAAAGATGTTGAATAAGACCGGGCCCAAGACAGAACCCTGTGGCACCCCACTAGTCACTCTTCTCCAGGATGAAGAGGAACCATTGATGAGCACCCTTTGGGTTCGGTCCAGTCAGCCAGTTACAAATCCACTGAGTGGTAGCATAGTCAAGACTGCATTTTACCAGCTTCTTTACAAGAATATCATGGGGCACCTTGTCAAATGCCTTGCTGAAATCAAGGTAGGCTACATCCACTGCATTCCCTTCATCTACCAGACTTGTAATTCTGTCAAAAAACGAGATCAGGTTAGTCTGACAGGTTAGTTATTTTTCAGAAATCCATGCTGACTATTGGTGATCACAGCATTCCTTTCTAGGTGCTCACAGACTGTTTGCTTAATGATCTGCTCCAGAATCTTCCCTGGTATTGATGTCAGACTGACTGGGCGGTAATTATTTGGGTCCTCTCTTTTCCCCTTTTTGAAAATAGGGACAACATTTGCCCTCCTCCAGTCTGCCGGGACTTCGCCTGTTCTCCAGGAATTCTCAAAGATGACTGCCAGTGGTTCTGAGATCACATCTGCCAGTTCTTTTAATACTCTTGGATGCAGTTCATCTGGCCCTGGAGACTTGAATACATCTAAACTAGCCAAGTATTCTTGTACTATCTCCTTAGTTACTCTGGGCTGTGTTTCCTCTGCTGAATCAGTTGCTCCAAATTCTTGCGGCCACAAGGTAAGCAAGATAAACAGAAAAATCACAAAAGTCATTTGCTCCTACAAAATATATGAAACATAGAGGCATATCATTTAATTCATAGACCTTCCTTTTAGCTTGATGAATAGAAGATGCCTGGCTGACTCATTCCTTATCTTTAACCCAGCTACTGAAGGAATAATAATATTGTTCATCATTATGGCAGATCAAGTTGATGGACTATGCCAAAATGGCAAAAACGACTGGAAGGATCAGAAATCAGGAAGACCAAAATTGTTAGAAGGAATGGGGGAAATTTATAATCTATATTAAAAACCATTGTAAACAGCTAAAACCTTTTTTGGGGGATTTGGAATAACAGTTGTAGTTTAATGCTGAATTTTGGACACAAGAAAGATGCAAAACATTTGGATTTTTATAGAATACACAGGAGGAAAGGACTAACAATAGGACCCACAAATGGGAGGAGAGAAGTCCAGGAGATTCTGTGGAATTTTATTTCTATATTGTATATTTATATGTTATTGTAAAATTTTAATTTGAAAAAACCAAATAAATAAATTTACAAAATAATTATAATAATGTTCATTATCATTCCTAACTGGTAATAGCAGCATACATTGAGATAATATGATACCTTAATCATCCTTCCCCCACCAATTGGAGTTTCTTAACCACCTTGCCAGACTTATAACAATATCAGTTTTGCCATTAAAGTTGCCATGCATCCGGAATTTCCCAGAAATAGCGGCTATTCGGTTCATGTCAGAAGTGTAGATCTCAGCAAATTTCAATAAAGATAGCTCAAATTTCAGTAAAGATAGCTCAAAAACCCTTAGGGGTTTTGCAAAGAAAGATCAACAACTTTGGCCAAAAGGACAAAACAGAAGTTCAACAACTTTTGTGTCCGGACAGCCCTACATTATATTCAATTCCCCCCAGCTCCAACTCGCCCCAGTGCAGGCTGGGTCTGTGTGCCCCAGGTGTCATCTGAAGTGGAAGCACAGCCTTTTCTTCATGCTGCTGTTGACACAGTCCTATCCAAGGCGAAAGCCAGCCCACCTGTCAGGAGAGAAAAGGGGCTGGTTAGGGCAACAGGGGGAGCAGAATAAAACACCATCCAAGATATCTGGACTGCTGACCTTGCTTCCTCATCAGTGAGGTCACAAACTTGTCGTTCTAGAGGGCAAAAATATATTCTTTTCCACAGAACTACATGGTGCATTTTGAATCTTCTACAGGGAACACACACCTGCATTCATCTGTGTTCAAATGGACACACTGTAGAGCAGCCCCAAACTGTTCTGAGCTAAATAATGCAGCAGACTACTCTACACAAAGGTAAACCTTTAAATAAAGATGTACATTTCCAGCATTCGACAAATACTCACCAGTTATGAGGAAGAGAGGAAAGGTTGCCCAGCCCAAGCCAAAAGACCATCCATAAGGGGCAATTCCTCCTGTCTGCCCTGTGAAGATGGCCATGCCAATCATGACACAAAGAGCTAGGAAGAAAAAATACATCAGGATATCAAGTTACTTGTTACTTGCTGAGCTGGAAGCTGCAGTTAGTGCAAAATGGAGAGGATCAACTACTCACTGAGGTGGAATATACTGCAGCTGAAAGAAATGCACTGGCTGCCAATCCACCGCCGTGCAAGGTTCAACATTAGTGTACAAAGCCCTATACAGTCGTACCTTGGTTGTCAAAGGGAATCTGTTCCGGAAGTACGTTCAACTTCCGAAAACTTTCGACAACCGAATCACGGCTTCTGATTGGCTGCAAGTGCTTCCTGCACTCAATCGGAAGCTGCAGGAGCCGCGCCAGACTTTCGGCTTCCAAAGAACGTTTGCAAACTGGAAGACACACTTCGGGGTTTGTGGCGTTTGGGAGCCAAAACTTTCCCGCTTTCAACAAACATGCTAAAATCCTTATCCCAGCTGGTATCCGTCCTGGATTTGAATTGATTGTGCATTATGGGATGCTGTTCTAAATAGTTTTTTCATATTTGTGCTTGTTATTTTTCACATTGTTTTCATATGCAGTTGTTTGGCTATCCTTTTACAGTATGTGTAACATATAATAAAAAGGTAAATGTGCCATCACTCTGCAGTTCACTTGAACAGAGACAGGTGGCGATCTAATATAGAGTGTGATGAGAGGTGGTAGATGGGTGGTCTAGGTGAAATGTAGAGGGACAGCTGGAACAGGTGGCCGCCACTGCCCTGCTCTGCTGGCTCCTCTGCCAACCACCTGAGTGGCTCATACTCCCAGGATCCAGAGGCACAGATCTACCAGCAGTGCAACTGGCCATCTCCCAGTGTTGTTATTCCTGCCAGGCAAATTCCTCAGCTCACTTAGCTGTGGCAGCATGAGATGAAAGAGGGAAGGTTTTAGAAGCATGCCATACTCAAGAAGGGGTGTGTGGTTTTCATTCAATGGAAGCCACTGCTTCCCACAGTGTGGCTTTTGAAGCAAACCCACACGGCTGCTTTCTAACTCCAACATAGCAAGTGAAAAGCAGCTGCCCTGGCAGGGCTATGAAAACCCTTGCATCCCCCTCCCTATCTTTTGTAACTCTGAAACTGGAGGTGGGGAGTGGGGAGGGCATTGCTATGCACCATATCCATTGATTTCAGTGGGTCTATTCTAAGTATAACTTAGTTCTGCCAATAGAGTTTTGTGAAATCGCGTTCTCCTCCCAGAGAGCATGTGTTGCAGTGAAGTCACCACAACTGACTCTGTTTCTGGGCTGGCTATGTTTGGATTGCCACAGCTACCCAACTGCTCCCTCGGAAGCATGGGACCTGTTCCGGCCAATGGGGTTGCAGAAATTACTTCCAAGGGATAGATATATACCGCTGCACATTGCGTTTTGAGATTCTTCTGTTTCGTTTCGTCCACCGGACCACCCGCCCACCCTCCCTATACAGTGGTACCTCGGGTTAAGAACTTAATGAGTTCTGGAGGTCCATTCTTAACCTGAAACTGTTCTTAACCTGAAGCACCACTTTAGCTAATGGGGCCTCCCGCTGCCGCTGCGCCACTGCTGCGTGATTTCTGTTCTCATCCTGAAGCAAAGTTCTTACCCCGGGGTACTATTTCTGGGTTAGCTGATTTCTGGGGTTTCAGGGGCTTGGGCTTAGTGTGGACGCAGATGTTCAGAACCCCCATGATACCTGCAACGAGGCTGGCTATAGCTGAGCTCTTGGTCTTGGAGATGGAGCGAAGTTGGAAGGAAAAGAAGTTGCCACAAAGGCAAATGCAAGAGATGACTCCAGCGATCACCGCGAAGAACATGAAGGTTCGGGTAGCATCGATGTAAGCTTTCAGGAAGGAAGGAAGAGAAAGAAACAAGGTTAAATGCATTTGTGGGATTTGACAATAGCCCTGCAGACATCCCATGTAATACTTTCCCTTTTTCTTTTTCTTTTTAATGATATTTATTGGGAGTTTAAAATTACAAAGAAAAAAGAAGGAAAAAACAAGAGAAAGAGAAAGAGAAAGGTAGACAAAAATAACAATTAAACAATACAAATCAATAAAAACCAAAGTCAAAAAAAGAAAAGAAAACACACAATACATCAAAATCAAAATCAGCAGAATGGTATAAGTGCAATTTATTCAGAACAAAAGGCTAAATTAATTGTAAATAATGTTGTGACGGAAGAACTTAAAATTGAAAAAGGGACACGAAAAGGTTGCCCAATTTCCCCACTTCTTTTTATTTCGGTCCTGGAGGTTTTGCTGAATATGATTAGAAGGGACCGGCTGGTTAAAGGTATACAGGTCGGAACCAAACAGTACAAACTGAGAGCATTTGCAGATGACTTAGTACTGACGTTACAGGAGCCAGAATCTAGTACCAAAAGGGTTTTAGAACTGATTCAAGAATTTGGTCAAGTGGCAGGATTTAAATTGAACAAGTCAAAAACTAAGGTTTTAGAGAAAAATTTAACACCGATTGAAAGAGAGGGTTCAGAATGAGACAGGTTTAACAGTGGTTAAGAAAGTTAAATACCTGGGGATTAACATGACAGCAAAAATGGGAATTTATTCAAAGACAACTATGAAAAATGTTGGGCTGAAGTGAAAAAAGATTTAGAAATTTGGTCAAATTTGAAGCTTTCACTGCTGGGCTGTATTGCTGCGATAAAAATGAATGTATTGCCTAGAATGTTGTTTTTGTTTCAAACTTTGCAAATTGTGGACAGAATGGATTGTTTCAAGAGGTGGCAGAAAGATATTTCTAGATTTGTCTGGCAGGGCAAGAAGCCCAGAATAAAATTTAAAATACTAACGGATGCAAAGGAAAGAGGTGGATTTGCCCTGCCAGACCTCAAACTTTACTATGAATCAGCAGCTTTTTGCTGGTTGAAAGAATGGCTACTTCTTGAAAACACTGACATTTTGGACCTAGAAGGTTTTAACAATGTATTTGGATGGCATGCATATCTATGGTATGATAAGGTCAAAGCACATAAAGCATTTAAAAACCACATTGTCAGGAAAGCGCTGTTTAATGTTTGGATAAGATATAAGGATTTATTAGAAAACAAAACCCCAAGGTGGCTGTCACCAATGGAAGCGAAAGCCTTGAAAAAGCTCAATATGGAGGTCAAATGGCTGAAATATTGGGAAATTTTGGAACAAGATGGAGATAGACTGAAATTGCAGAGCTTTGAAAAACTAAAAAACAAAGTGCGAGACTGGCTTCATTATTTTCAGATAATGGAGGCATTTAAATTGGACAAGAAAATTGGCTTCCAGGTGGAAAAATCAAAATTAGAAACTGAACTGTTAGAACCCAAAACTAAGAATTTGTCAAGAATGTATAACTTGCTGCTGAAATGGAACACTCAGGATGAAACGGTAAAATCGGCTATGATTAAATGGGCACAAGACGTTGGACATAACATTATGTTCGCTGACTGGGAACAGTTATGGACCACAGGTATGAAATTTACGGCATGTAATGCCTTAAGAGAGAATATTATGAAAATGATATACAGGTGGTACATAACCCCAGTCAAGCTTGCAAAAATCTATCATTTGCCCGATAATAAATGTTGGAAATGTAAAGAAACGGAAGGTACATTTTTCACCTTTGGTGGACGTGCCCAAAGATTAAGGCTTTCTGGGAAATGATATATAATGAATTAAAAAGGTATTCAAATATACCTTCCCCAAGAAACCAGAGGCCTTTCTCCTGGGCATAGTCGGCCAAATGGTGATAAAAAGGATAGAACTTTCTTTATGTATGCAACAACAGCAGCAAGAATACTCATTGCAAAGTACTGGAAGACACAAGAACTTCCCACACTGGAGGAATGGCAGATGAAACTGATGGACTATATGGAACTGGCGGAAATGACTGGTAGAATCCGTGACCAGGGAGAAGAGTTGGTGGAGGAAGATTGGAAGAAATTCAAAGATTATTTACAAAAACACTGCAAAATTAAAGAATGTTAGAGTGATGTTGGATTGAAAATAAGTGGTTTCCAGCTGTACAGGATTCAAAGTTATAGATAGACTAAGACTAAGGATTAGGATTAAAGAAGTTTAAGGAAATGGAAATTTGGTTTTTAAGAGGAAAAATTTTAATGTTATATTATATTAAGATTAAAGATTGGGATTAAAAAAGAGGGAAAGAAATTGCTGGACAAACAATTTGAACTGGAATACAAAAGAGGGAGGTATGAGGAGGTCCAGAAAATAAGTAAATTTAAAGATGGAAATGAAAAGGTGATATTGCTTTTAACTGTTCTTTTTCTTTTTTGTCTTTTGTCTTTTGTTCTTTTTTCTTTTTTGGATTATGTATTGTGCATTTTTGAATTGTGTATTTCTCTTTTATGTTTTTCTGTTTAATCTTTTATTGAAACCTTAATAAATATCATTTTTTTAAAAAAAGCAAAAGTAAACAAAAAATTGAAAAACAAATCCAATATTCCCAAATCCTTAACTTTCATTAACTTATTTCATCGACCTCCTCACACCTCCCTTTTTTGTATTCTAGTTGTTAATTATCTCAGCACATCCTTTCCATCTTTCACAATATTCTATCATTAAATTACCTTAATCTATTTTAACCTTATCTTACCATAAGAAACCCTAAAGCTTAAAACTTAAATCTTATTTATACCTAATTCTTTTAACCATAACATATTCTTACATAATTCTTTTAACATTTCTGCTAAAGCCAAATAATTTCATTCCAACATTTTTCTAATACTCATTAATTTTACGATAATTTTCTAAATAAATTTTTAAAACTTTCTTCCAATCTTCATCCATCGTCTCTTCTTCCTGGTCTCGGGTTTTGTCAGTCCTTTCTATCCCATCCATCTAGTCCATCAACCTGGTGACCTTCTATCTGAGGCTCTTAAGTCTTTTCCATGTCACTTCCGCAGGTCTTCTTCATGTTTATGCCTGTACTTTACTTTGTCTTCTGCTGATCGTATTCTTAATTTCCTTCCTTTCACTCGGGGAGACTCCAACTTGATGATATCTTTGTCCCTTCTCGACAAGTCAGCCCATTTTCCATAGTCAACACTGAAATCCATGTAATATTTAAAGGCATGTCTCAAAGTCCCTCCAAAGTTAAGGGCCCCCACAACTCACAACTCCCCCCGGCCCAAGGCCAGACTCGAAAGGTCAAAACATCCCTGCATAGGGGGATCCATCCAGCCCCCCATCTCCAAGCCAAACAGAACTCCATCTCTCCAAATCTGACTTTTTCCAGGTTCATTCGTCAAATCCAACAACTCATGTTCCTGCTGGGCCGCAGCTCTCTCCATTTCTGCTACTTGAGGTTCAGCAACAACCTCCTCCTTTATCTGATCTGTCAAAGCACATTCCTGGATTAATTCCTGAGTGGGTTCTATATAGGTACCCACTGCCTGTCCAAAATTTCCGATCGCAACAGTCATCAAATCCATCTTCTCATGTAACTGTTCCAATACAGTACTTGTCTTGCAAAGAGCAAGCACCAAAGCCTCCTCTAAGCACATTCTTGTTCAAGGTCGAAGTCTGGTCCCACGATCTTTAATCTCTACAGCTGCAAAGCTCCCCAGTTCGACTCTAATAACAGTTCCACAAGCTCCCTCTAGGGGAAACAATTTCTATTTGTATCCGTCTTTTTTCTTTTTTTAAAGCAGATCTAGCAACAAAGTTCCTTTCCTTTTTCAGATATTATGTTCCTTTTAAATGCAAAAGGGAACAATGGAATCAATATGTTTCTCTTCTTTTGACTATCTGTCAAAAACGTCTGTCCACAGTCAATGAACTTCCCCAAAACGTCTGTCCTGACACCCCGCTCCCAGGTTCAAGACGGTGGAAATTTACCTTTCTTTACTCTCTTCTGCAGGTTTAGACAGTCTAAAAAAGATTCCCCCCTCTTCTCCTGCTTCCAAGGGGGGTTCAGTAATTTTAAATGATGAAAATTTAATCCTTTACAAGCGACTTTCCAGACTCTAGTTTGCTGTGTCTTTGCTTCAATTTATTTACAAAAGCGAAGGCGGACTTCCTGTTTAGACCTTCCCGCTTTGGTGCCAAATTAAGAAATTTCATAGTCCAATTTTCTGTTCTACTCATGGGCAGTTGTTTAAAATCCAATTGTCCACAGGAAAAAGTCAGCGCTGTCCGGCAACAGCAATGCGGCTTCACTCCGTGAAAAGAGCAGTCGATTTGAAGCACTGCCCCATTCACCCCACGTCGCTCCGGATCCCCGAAACCGGGTTTCCCCGCGACTAGGGGAGGCGAGAAAGGTGCCAGCCAAATCCCACGTCCACAGGCCCCATGTAATACTTTCCACCAGGGATGGACAGATCAGTTTTTATCTGACACATATCAGTTTTGCATGCTCTCTGTCCTGTTTCAGAATTAATCTGTATTTTTTAATAGAAAAGTCCAAATAAATATTCACATTTAAAGGAATCTCCAACAACAACAAAAGTAATTAAATACATTGAGGGCATGATTTCCTGGTGGTGCTTCTACTCCTACCTGCTTGGTCAGTCCTGAAAGTGGGGCTGTCACCAGTGGTGGCTGAAGCATATGAGTACTGGTAGGGCAGATGGCAGGAAGACCAAAAGTAAGTGGAGCAAGAGGGAATGTCAGACACAGCCAACCCGTGGTAGGTGCGTGTTGGCTGAAAGCAGACGGACGTTGATGGGCCAATACTCTATTTCCCATAATGGGCTGGCCTCCTATTATTCAGCACCATGGTTACAGGATTGTTGCATAACCCACTGCACTCCACAGGGGTTCATTCTTTCCCCCATGCTGGTTTATATCTCTATTAAGCTGCTGAGAGACGCCATCAGGAGAGGCAACTGGTTTAGTCTGTATTCTTCTAAGTATCCTTTGAAGCTTATCATAGGTTTGCCAACTTGAAGACTGGTTGTGGCGAAGAAGCATCTCTTCTGTGCAACTTGCCCAAAGCCACCCATCTTCTCCTGCAATGTACAGCTTCACAGAACTGAAGAAAGACACACCCAACTCACACCGAGTGACATCGGGGCACAGTAAACCTGCCAAGAGCACAGTGCAAATGGAGTGTGCATGTGCTGGTCCCGTGGGTTACCCGAGAGGCATGGTCCAAGTCCGGTCCGTGCTCAAAGGTGCAACGTGGAGGCAGTCTGTAGTATCTGAAGCTGGGAGTAGGGCAGTGAGTCAAGTGAAGTCAGGAACAGGCATACAAGCAGGGAACCAGGGTGGGTCAGGAGCTCAGGCAGGAAAGCAGGACAGGATTCAGGCAGGAACTAGCAACCAACAATGTTGCTCCCGCAACTTGGGACTGGGGCTGGCTGGCTTTTATCTGCAGTTCAGGAGAGGCTGGAGGGTTACCAGACCTAGAGGCAACCTCAGCTCCCTCTGACAGCGCTGAGAGTGGAGCACCTGCAGGCAATGGGTCCTCCATCACCTCAGGAGCCAGAGCAGACTCGGCTGATGCCTGCAGCTGAGGATCCAGCACAGGTGAGGACCCTTCAGGCTCATGCTCCAGCCCTGGCTCAGCTGGTTCTGGAGGCGGGGAATCCTGTGCAGGCTGGGACCCCTCAGGTTCAGCATCCGAGTCCGAATCCCAGGCCATCACAGTGCAATCCAAAGCACTCCCAGGATCCTTTGCAACATGCAAGGTTGTATATAAGGTAGGGGCGTCTTGGCAGACAAAAAAAATGGCTTCCTGACAACATATATTAAAAATCAGAGGCAAGAGGGGTTTTTTTGTGGAAAGTGGGGACTCATCTACACTGGTCAATTATAACGTTAAAAATATGTTCTTAAAATGTGACACGAGAGGGCACCGTAGAGCAGTGATCCGTTGTCAATGGTAAACAGCATTGGGAGCTATATTCTTATAGTGTTTTTATAGCATTTTTCATATCTGTGTAGATCCAGCCTCAGTGGTAAGAACTACCATCTCCATTTAATTTTTTTGCTGCCCACCCACAGCAGCCATTTTGTGCTGGCACCCAGGGTTGAGGAAGGATCAACTAGGTCCCCCATTGCTGCAAACCTTAGAAATGAACATCAGTTCAATCAGCTTTGGAATACCGCACCTCAAGTACTCCTAGCACAAGACAGAGAAGAACTTACCTGGTACTCCTATTATAAAAAATGGAACACAAGTATTGAACTTAGACTCAGTCCTGCAATATGCCCAGAGACCACTGTTCTCCTTGGCAGTTTGTATCCAGTAGTCTGAGCCCAGGGCGGTGAGGAGAAGAAGAAGGCTGATAAAAGCACAAACCACAGCGCAGATCTGCAGTATAAGCATTGTGAGAACGGTCAGATCGGAGACTGAGGAGCACAATAGGGATGATGAACCTGGGGAAAGGAGACATCCACATTATTCCACATCAGTTGAAGTTTGTGTTCAGGTGTGCTTTAAAGATGCACATGTGCTCAGAGGCCTGCCGCAGATTGTGCTGTCCTGGACAGAAGAGGTTTTCAGGCTGCGCAGACTATGACAGGCATTTAGAATTTATATGTTCTGAGTTCTGAGGGCAGTTTGCAAATTAAAATGAACCTGGGACCTCCTTCCCCACCCTGTTCCCCACCTGCAGCGGCAGACACAGAGAGGCAACGGGGTGCTCCCTCACCACTCCCGCCATCACTCGAGACAAGCACCAGCTCATTCTCCTTCCTGAGCTCAGTGGTGGCAGCACTGGCAGGGGAAATAGGGACAATGTGGGATCAAATCAGTAGCCAGGCAAGGCAAGAAACCATGAATTAAATATAAATCATTAACAGATATAAAGGAAAGAGGGGGCTTCGCCTTGCCAGATCTGAAACTCTATTATGAAGCCTCATGTTTATGTTGACTAAACGAATGGATGACATTGAAAAATACAGATATATTGGACAAAGAAGGATGGGACAACAGATACGGATGGCATGTTGGATGGCACGCATATCTAGGTTACGATAAAGCAAAAGTACATAGGGGTATTTTAAAGCATGTAATTCAAAAATCTCTGTGCACAGTATGGGTCAGATATAAAGACTTTGTATATATAAAGACACCTTGGTGGCTTTCACCAACGGAGGCCTTTACAGTAAAGAGAAAAAAATATGAAACCAAATTAGGCAACATAAAGAGAAATTCTAAAAGAAGAACAAAGCCAATTAAAACTGAAAAAAATTAAAGCAATTAGACATTATTGTACGGATTGGTTACAATATCATCAATTAAATGATGTGTTTACATTAGATAAGAAAATTGGATTGGAAAAACAAATATCAAAATTAGAAAAGGAATTATTACAGAACAAAAGGAAAATATTATCAAAAACATATAGATTATTGCTGGATTGGGAGGTAGAGGATGGGGAGATCAAAGAAGTGATGATCAAATGGGCAAAAGATTTTGGATATCCTATCCAGATGGAGGATTGGGAAAGATTGTGGCAAAAAGACTTTAAATTCACAGCCTGCTATACAATAAAGGAAAATTTCATGAAAATGCTGTATAGGTGGTACATGACCCCCAGAAAATTGGCTAAAATATATAAATCAAAATTAAATGTTTGCTGGATGTGTAATCAGGGGGAAGGAACAATGTACCACATGTAGTGGGGTTGGGATAAAATCAAAATATTTTGGAATACTGTTTATGACGAATTAAAAAAAATGTTTAGACAAACATGGGGGGGGGGGGACCCTGAAGCCTTTCTCCTAGGCATTATGCGGATCAATATCCCAAAGGATAAGAAAAAGGTGTTCTTGTATGCTACAGCCACAGCAAGAATGTTAATTGCAAAGAAATGGAAAGGGGAGACTACACCAACAATAGGGGAATAGCAAAATAAACTGTGTGAATATTTGGAATTGGCAAGAATGACAGCGGCAATAAGGTATCAACCCTACCAAAAATTTTAAAAAGAATGGGAATGTGTATATTGCTATATGGGAAAGCATTGTTCTCAAATCAAACCCTTGATATGTGTTGAATAAATTTCACAAAGTCACAATTTAGATAGATAAGTTATATATTTTGTAACATAAAGATAATAAAGATAAACAACACAATTGAAAAGAAAAAGAAGATAGAAGATGCTGTAATGAGGTGGCGGGAAGTCACTGGGGAAGAATTATGAAAAAGATCTGGTTTATAAATATGTATAGTATATGTTAAAAATAAGAATTTGACTATGTATATGACTAACAATGGAAAAATCTAAAAAAAAGCATTTTAAAAAACAAAAGAAACAAATCAGTAGCCATGATTCCAGGATGCATGATTCCAGGATTGTCCCTGGACAATTGGGGCACTTGGTGGTTCTGGAAAAGAGCCTGGAAAGCCTTTGCCCATCAGTGTAGACCAGGGGTAGTCAACCTTTTTATACCTACCACCCACTAATGCATCTTTCTTGATGGTAAAATTTTCTTACCGCCCACTAGTGCTCAATGGAAGGAGGATTCAGCTTGTGTCATAGAACCCCCTACCTCCCACCTAGAATCCTGAAACGCCCACTAGTGGCACCGCTTGAATGCCACATGGGTGGTGGCGGGATCCTCTGCTCGCATCTGCAGTTGTGAATGGAAGATCCTCCACATGCGGTGGCAGCACGATGGCTGCTTGCACCGCCAAACTCGGGGGTGGCGGGGCAAGCTCCCCACCGGGTGCCTTCTTGTCACCCCCCCAGACATGGCACCCAGGGTGCTCCATCCCCCCACCCCCATGCGACGCCACTGGCTACCATCACCTCCCTCCCTTCCGCACCCCACCCCCTCTGTAGGTTTGTTCTGCCTGATGGCACACCAACGTTTGCTGGTGCACGGATCCAGAGGTTGGGAATGGGTCTCTAGGTGTGGCCCTCTGTTACTGCCTAGTAACTCCAGCTCTGGTTGACAAGCTGGTGACTAATTAACCTATACGATTTCTCCAAATGGGTCTCCTTCGCTTTTTGATGCTGGTTGCCTGCCATAGAGCAATAACTGAAGAAATATATTTGTGAGTTTTTGAAATACTTTTATAACTTTGCATGCAGATGAATGAGCAGTGATAGGGGCTGTTGGCGGTTTCGTATGCCTCTCTCCCATAATCATTGACAGATATTTTAAGAAAAGAATTCTATGCCTGGTCTGGTCTGGGGAGTTGCAGTGTCAATCTCTCTCACACCCACCCACACATACACCTACACACCCTGCTCTCCTTCCCTCTTTCCTCCTTCATTGCACACCCCTATTGCCTCAAACTACAATTGCCTAGCCTAACCTAGCCATGCCCCACTTTGTTGGCTGATGGAATCAAAACAGAAGGGCAAGCAAGGGGAAGAGGGAAAACATGAAGGGAACCAAATAAATTGTTATCTGTTCATTCAGGAGTCATTTCTGTCCATGGTGCTTGGCTCATGGCGAATAACAAAAGTGACCAACACTCACTCAGTTTTCCAGTTCTTCCTGAAACAAAGGCACACATCTAGTCTGACCTAAATATTTCCTCCACTACAATCTTTTGTCTGCATAGTCACCATCTATCTTCCCCCATTTTTTTCTGCGTAACATAGGAAGCAGTCTTATACGACTCACCATTGCTTCACCTGACACAGTATTGCCTTACTCTGACTGCCAGCAAATCTGCAAGGGCTCAGACTTTTCCACGGGAATCTGCTACCTCTTCCGTCTTTGTCTCCAGATGTCAGAAACTGAACTTTCAACCTTCTGCATACCAAACAAGTTCTTTACCTCTATTTTTTCTGTCCCCTCTTTTTGCCTTTTATGGTTTCCCTTTTGCCATGTTATTGCAAGGGCACAGCTTAGTGGCAGGCTCTAGCTTATATGGCCGCCTCCTCCTGTGTTCTGTAACTTAGTCTTTGTCTCCAGACATTAGTGAGCAATTGTGTTCTCCATGCTGAAGCTTCATCTGTTGATTTCTGAACACAGAGGCAGCATTCATGAGTATTAGGCACTGACGGTTACAACCTCCACAGACTTGTGTCTGGTTCCTCTCTAAAAGCTTTATATCCTCTGCCCATTACTGCATCTTCGTGAGCGAAATATGCCTTAGGTATGATCCAGATGGCCGTTTCTATGAAGTCACCAAGACTTTTTCTTGTCCCATGCATAGAAGGCACAGGTCTGAGCCCTTTCCCCCTTTTTCTGCTCCTTTTCCAGAGAAAAGTTGCTCTTTTGCTTTAAATCTGAGCAACTGGCAAAACGGCAATCCAAAGAAAACCCAAATTGCTGTTTGCTCTGTTTGAAGGCTAAAGAGTTGTTTTTCCCAGGTGAAAGCAGGAGGACAAGAGGAAGTGTGGATAAACCCTCAGTTTTGCTGGATTGAACCCCTTGGTATGTAAGCTCCCTATCAACCTATCTATCTGGGACTGGTGGCTTTGCCTATTTCCAGTGCATGGCAGCTTCATGGGCACTTAAGAGATCCATTCTGTACCATTTTCTGTAGATAACAAAAAGCAGCAACATTTCACATCTAAATTGTATGCCCTTTCTCCTAAAGTACACATTTTGTACTCATCCATCCCACCCAACCAAATATACATTCTGTATGCTCAGAAATGCATGTCTGCCGTAAAATGCACATTTTTGTACTAGAACCGAGCCACAAAATTCAAAGACATGTCTAATCCAATGGATAGCTGTGCTCCAGTCTGCATACAAATCCAGGACTGCTTCACTTTCAAAAGTGGATCGAAGAAATGTATCAGCAAAGTTGGCATCGTCAAAATTAGAACAAAGACGTTTATATGTAGTCCAGTGCAAAAATAAAATAAATCGCATTGAGTCCCTCTCATTTGTTCCCTGTATCAAAATTCACCAAAAAATCAGCTACTGAAAAATTTCCCTTTCCCTCCCACATAAATCTAGAGATGTTTAATCCCACCTGGCTCAGAATGCCTTCCTCTTTTCTTCAGGTGAAGTCTTCACTCTGGAACAAGGGCCAGGCATGCTCTGACTTCACCACCCATGGGAGTGCACTTTTCCCCTCTGCAGAGGCGGGGGAACCTATTCGGAAGGTCCGCCCCCAGAGGCTGATGGATCCAGTGGGATTCCAAACGGTTCTGGGAGGTTTTCTGGCTGATATGACTGGCACCCATGTCGAAGCTCTGGGTGACCTCTGGAACACCTGAATGGTTAGGGCTATTGACACAATCGCTCTGAGAGCCCTCTCCCACTTTGTGAAGCCCGTTTGGCCCCCTGGTATACTCCAGAGGTTAGGACGAGGAAACAAGCTGGGAAACAGCTTGAACGCAAGTGGAGGAAAGATCCATATGAATGCAACCAAACACTGGGACGTGGGTGGCACTGTGGGTTAAACCACAGAGCCTAGGACTTGCCGATCAAAAGGTTGGCGGTTCGAATCCCCGCAACGGGGTGAGCTCCCGTTACTCGGTCCCTGCTTCTGCCAACCTAGCAGTTTGAAAGCACATCAAAGTGCAAGTAGATAAATAGGTACCACTCTGGCGGGAAGGTAATCGCCATTTCCGTGCACTGCTCTGGTTCGCCAGAAGCGGCTTAGTCATGCTGGCCACATGACCCGGAAGCTGTATGCCGGCTCCCTCGGCCAATAAAGCCAGATGAGCACCGCAACCCCAGAGTCAGTCACAACTGGACCTAATGGTCAGGGGTCCCTTTACCTTTACCTTAGAGGCAGTGAAGGCAGCAAAGAAGGCATACTTTGCTGCCTCCATTGCATCCTCATTATGTCATCCAGCAGAGCTTTTCTGGGGTGTATGGGGCCTTTTACATCCTGGCCCAAAGGAGGTGATAGAACCAATGGTAGCTCTTTGTGACTTGTTTGTGAAGCATTTTGAGAATAAAATCGCTTGCATCCACCCAAATCTTGGCTCTGCTGTTATAGCAGATGAATCTCATTGTGAGTGGCATCTGCATCTGCAGACATGTCCAGAGTGAAATCTACACTTGCTGGTTTCTGCAGATCAAACCACAGGAGGAAGCCAGGGCATTAATTATGATCTCTTCCTGGGAGGATGACACTATTATAAATAGATCTAACTGCTAGGAGCAGGGTAAGGAGTGGAGGCAGTGGACCAGATGTCTGGCCCATCAGCTTGAGGTTCCCAAACCTGCTCAGATGCTTTCCTCATTGTAGCTTCTTTATTATAAAATCATAGAATTGTAGAGTCATCTAGCCGCAAGGGTCATCTAGTCCAGCCCCCTGTAATCTTTGGCCCAAATGGGACTCGAACCCAAGACCTTGAGATTAAGATTCTCATGCTCTACCGACTGTTCAGCTGAGTCAAGATTAATACCTTTTCTTTTTTTGAAAGGTTTTCATTAAAGCTTGCAGGGGGGCATGGAAAAAGTAATATAAAACAGTTTCCATCAAATATGAAGCATCTTTTTTAAACATAACAATGAAAAGAAAGATAAGATAGAAGAAACAAGAAAAGAAAGGGGGTGGGAAGACTTTTGGTGCTCAGTCTATCAGCTTTACAGGCTTATGCAAAACCCTTGCTCCACAACAACGCTCAACTCTTCTACTTTCCGTACTTTTTAGTCGTCAAACCCAGATATCACAAGTTCATTTTCCTTTTCATGCAAAAAGTCCATAAGGGTTTTCCAATCATGAGATTATTCCCCATTGCTGAGGAACAAGTAAGCCACCCCAACCTCTGCCACCACCCATTGCTAAATATTGTTGTTACTGTTTGTCAGAATAATTAGGCTCTGCTAATTGTATGCTTTTAAGAAATGGAAAACAGCACACTTGAACATGACTAATGAGTGAGTCATCGAGGCTTGAGCCATAGCTGTAATGGAAAAAAACTGACAAAAGAAGGCAGAAAGAATGAAAAAAATATATATACTAGTGACTCATTCCATGAACACTGGAAAAGAAACCCAGCCAGATGGGCGGGGTAGAAAAAATAATTAAATTAAATTAAATTAAATTAAATTAAATTAAATTAAAATTTATTTCATATTCATACCAGAAAGGACGTAACTACAGCCCACTCTCAACACTCAGAACATTACAGAGGGATCTCCTGGGATAAATGTTATACCATGTTTTTTGCCGTATGAACCTGTACGAAACTGATTTACATCACAATTTTATTTCTTATTTAAGACATTTCTACACCGCTTAATCATCTACCTTTTCAACCAGTGGGCATTTAAAAAAACACAACTTACGGGATACAGGTATATCAAACAATAAAAGATGTATCATAAAACCAGCCACTATCTTAAAATGCCTAACAAAACAATAAAGTCTTAGTCATGCACCTGAAGTTCAAGGAAGTGCCTGCATATATAATCTTTGCTGGGGGGAGAGCTTCACTTCCTTGGGCCCACTACAATGAATGTGCCACTTTTAGAAGCTCTGCTTCCCATGAGTTATGGAGACACTCCGTTTTACAAATTTGCACTCTAATGAAGCAAAACAGGGAATGAGAGGTACTTTTATAGGGGTCCTGTGCCTTTGCTCCCATTTCATTCACAAGTATTTTGAGATCTTTCAGATTGATGGACATTTTGGCTGGGTGGGGGGTGGAGGACACACATTCCTGAGTGTGGGGACTTGCACCCAACTGCTCTCTTCCCTCCTTCTCTCATTGGACATCTGTATTGTCTTGAGCTGCAACTATCCTACACCCAACTTTGGTTTGCCTAGGAATTGCAACCTAACCTAATCGTGTCCCCCTCTGCTGGCATATGGAATCGAAACAGAAAGGCAGGATAATATGAGAGGAAGATATATTTTTTAACCCTGTAAACAGTGCCAGATTTACGTATAAGCTGAACAAGCTATAGCTTAGGGCTCCACTCTCTTGGAGGCCCTCCCAGAAAATTTAAAAGGAAAAAATATGGATGTACATTTCCAAAATATAAGATAAAAAATAAAATAAAACCTATATACAGCAACAATGTTTTGTGTTGTGTAGGCTCCTATGATGTAAGTAATGGGCGCCGCCTGCTAGCCTGCTCCCTAAAATATCACTGGTTTTCTCATTTCTATATACAGGGTGCCTACATTCTGCATGGACTGTTATGTGCAAATGGCTTTAGATACCTATTAGGTCCATAAATTACCATAGAGCATATATTCAACACAAAAAACAGTGACACTGTGTTGTTGACGAAGGACAGCTGGACATAAAAAGGGTCCCATTACCTTCAGTAGCTTAGGGCCTCATCAAACCTAAATCTGGCCCTGCCTGTAAAAGAACCTGCTTCTCATTCAGGAATTGTTTCTCTTGATGATGTTCAGCTCCTGTCATAGGATATAGGAAGTTGCCTTAAACCAAATCAGACCATAGGTCCACATTGCTCTGATTTTCTACACTGAATGCCTGATCTGCCTCTTTAAACACCATCAGCCTGCATCATAGATTTGTATAACGGCACTATAATACCTGCAGTTTTACTGCAGTTTTATTTTCAGTTCTTTTCATAATGGTCCCCAGCATAGAATTTGCATTTTTCACAGCTGCTGCGTACTAGGCTGACATCTTTGTTAAGCTATCCAGTACCAACCCAAGGTCTCATTCCTGGTGCATCCCTGCCACTTCAGTGAACCTCATGAGCATATGTGTGAAATTAAGGTTTCCTTCTCCCGACATGCATCGCTTTACGTAAGTATATATTGAATGGCACTTGCCATTTTATCGCCTTTTCACTGAGTTTTGAGGAGTCCATAAATGGATGTTCATTTTATTGCGGGGAGGGGGAGATTTTGCACACAGCAGTCACTGAGAGAAAAATAAAGCATTTTATTTTATTTTAGAATCTCTTTTTGTAAGATTGGTAATGTCAACATGGTTCAGGGTCGCATATTTCTTTTTCCGAATAGTTTCACTGGAGGTAAATTTAACAGTGCTCAGTTGGGATGCCTCCAGATTGTCCCTGTTTCGTGGGAAGGAGTCAAGTACAGGCTGTAAATTTAAGTTTGCGCAAATGAAGTGGAAGAAAGTGCTTGGTAGCCCTGACACTACAAATTCACTTTAAAAACAGAAACAGAGAGTTCATTTTTTTTTCAAATAATATTTATTATTTTCAGTAGATAAACATAGTAAAGAAATGAAAGATTAACAATAATAAAAACAAACAAAAAAAGAGAAAAAAAAGATACATACAACATATTACCACTTAATTAATTAAAATTAAGTACCATCCATCTTCATAAACATAGTATTTGACTTCCTCGAATCTCTTCCATCCGAATTTCTTAGTAATTATATGTAGCCGTTACCAATATCAGTGTTTCAAAAGACCATATCACAGTCCTATTCATGTTACATAGCTTTCCTTATCGTACATTTTCTTATTTATAAATTTAATTCCATTTTAATCCTAGGCCTAATTGTTTCTTTCACCAGGAGAATCCACGAGCAGAAAGAAGAGGAACATCAAGAAGACTGGAAGAAATTTAAAGACTATTTGAATAAATATTGTAATATTAAAGATATGGAACCACTTGACAGAAACAGAGAGTTCTAGTAGATGCTACTCCTTTAGTGTAGATCCACTGAAATTAATGGCTATGACTAACCTAGGTCATGGGTCTACTCTGATTAGAAATTAGTTGACTACAACCCTTAGGTTGACGGGGGGGAGGGATGCATTGACAAGTGGTGTGTTTTGTGTGTGGAGAAGTGATTAACGGGAAGACATATAAACATCCAACAGTGATGAAGGCAGGATGAATGCTGATTGTTGCATAACTGCCCCACAAGCAAATCAGAATGGATGCTCAATAAAGACCAGACACAGTCTAACCCATTTTTTGCAAGCCCATCTGGATGAATGCTCAATAAGTAGGTTGTCTAGGGGAACATTCTGTTAAAGAAAAAGTCACATTCAGGTCTAATTAAAATGCCCCGAAGGAGCTTGGCAAGAAGAACCATTTTTCTCAAAGAACTTGCATGTTTGAGAGACAGACAGAGGAAGGCCTATCAAGAGATGGAGAAGAGGGAGGTTCTATTGCTTCTAATGACTTTGCAGGGCTGTCTTCTGGCTGCAGAACCTGACCTGATTCTGAATCAAAAGCCGTGTTTCTGTTGTCATATGCAGGCTGCCTTTTAGGCATGGGAATCTTGGGGTTCATTTTAAATATATTATTCATCATTAAAACCACAAGATATAGGAGAAAAACAGGTGAATCACAAAGGCCATGTGCTCATACAAAATGTGAAGGCAATACCGCAAAGCATATGATTTACTGCATAGCCATAGGCTATTCCTTTCTGCTGAATGCATAGAAGATGTCTGGTCTACTCATTCCTTATCTTTAACCCAGCCACTGACTACTGTTCATCACTATTCTTCATTAATAATAGTTCCATATACTAAGCAAACAATATCCTGTATATACTCTTTAATCTCTTTTTGGGGAAGGAATGATTTCCTTCTAAACCAAAGTTAGCCTGTCTTTTGCTCTCCTAAGTCAGAAAGGCCAGTGGTATGGGATGCTGGGAGTTGTGTCTTCTGTTGGTAGCTCTGTTCCACAGTACTGAGTTAATAGATTCCAATTTGTGGTGAAGGGACTACGTTGCTGTTTCTTAATCCTATTGCTATCATATAATGCATCAGTTTCGTCATGAAAGTATAGTTATTTCCTCCAGGTCCAGCTTGTCTTGGTGCAGGCTGTGTTTGCATCCCACGTGATCAACATAGCTCCAGGTGTCATCTGAAATGGTAGCAAAGTCTTTCCCTCATGTTCATGCTGACCCATCCAAGAGGAAAGCCAGCGCACCTGTCAGGAGAGAGAAGGAGCTGAATCGGGCAATTGGCAGAGGAGAATAAAACATCACCCAAGATATCCTGATCATTGACCCCAAGATTACTTCTCTTTCTCAAAGATGGGAACATGCGCTGATCCTCAAACCCCTGCCATTCTAATGGACGGACACATACCGTATTGGCCCAAATATAAGCTGCACTTTTTTTCCAAATTCCAACCGCGAAAAGTTAAAGTGAGGCTTCAATTCGGGACCTTACAAAAACTGGCTTTCACAAAATCGCTGCTGAAACAGTCATATGGTAAAACGGAACAAAAAAAACGTTGTATTGCCAATTTGAGACTGTTGTGCAATTAATTCTAAGGTCATTTATCGCTTTCCCCATATCTTACAGTGCAGTATTGATTTTTTAAAATTTGCATTTACGCTGCTACGGTGTTTAACCCACTTGCGGGTCCTCTCTAGTATCCGTAGGATTTTCTTCTACATTTGCCATTTACGGGTGTGAGTGCCTGCGGAATTTTAAAGGAGCGGCTTATATTCGGGTATTGTCTTTTTTTCTCTACCCACCCCCCTTTGAATTTTAAAGGTGCAGCTTATTTGTTGGTGTGGCTTATATTCAGGCCAATACGGTATTTTCTTCCACAGAATTACATTCTTTGCACATTTTGAGACTTTTGCAAGGGACAAGTCCTAGGTAGAAATGGAGGTGTCTAGGGATAGGTGGATCAGCCAAGTTCTAGCCTGTTACACCCCATTCTCACATTAGTATGTAAATTGTTTATTTAAGTTATGCAAAAATGTATTAAAAATGTATTCGCAAGATGTATTAGTTCAATGTATACATTTCTATATGAATTTGATCATAAAATGCATATGCTGAAGCCAAGACGTCCCTCCCCGAGCCATTGACACCAAACTGGGAGGGGTAGCTAATGCTGCAGAGGACATAATCAGAATTCAAAATGACCTTAACAGATTGGAGAACTGGGCACAAGCTAACAAAATAAATTTCAATAAGGACAAGTGTAAGGTTCTGCGCTTAGGCAGGAAGAACCAGACGCACAAATATAGGATGGGGGACACCTGGCTTACTAGCAGTACATGTGAAAGGGGTCTAGGGGTCTTAGTAGATGACAAGCTTAAAGGAGTCGACAGTGTGATGCAGCAGCAAAAAAAAGCTTACGCTATTCTAGGCTGCATCAACAGAAGTACAGTGTCCTGATCAAGGGAAGTAATAGTACCACTCTATTGTGCCTTGGTCAGAGCACACTTGGAACAATGTGTCCAGTTCTGGGCACCACAATTTAAGAAGGATGTTGACAAGCTGGAACATGTGCAGAGGAGGGCAACCAAGATGATCAGGGGTCTGGAAACTAAGCCTTATAAGGAGCGCTTGAAGGAGCTGAGTATATTTAGCCTGTTAAAGGAAAGACTAAGAGGAGAAACGATAGCCATCCTTAAATATCTTAAGGGCTGTCACATGGAGGTTGGAACATGCTTGATTTCTCGTGCACTGGAGAGTATGACTCAAACCAGTGGCTTCAAGTAAGGAGATTCCAACTAAACATTCAGAAAAACATTTAACAGTAAGAGCTGTTTGGCAGTGGAACAGACTCCCACAAGAGGTGGTAGACTTTCCTTCCTTGGAGGTTTTTAAACAGAGGTTGGGTGGCCATCTGTCATGGATGCTCTAGCTGAGTTTCCTGCATAGCAGGGGGCTGGACTAGATGACCCTTGGGGTCTTTTCCAACTCTAAGATTCTACGATTTCATGTGACATATCAGCCAGAAGTCCACTTGAGGATCCCAATTCCATTTCTGCTCTCCCACACTACGGAAGGAAAGGATGGCAAAGCCATTAGTAAAGACGTCCACCCTGAACACACATGATCCTGGAAATTCTCAGACAGTGTTGACTTTGATCATAAGAAGCTGCCTTATGCAGATATTCTCCTTGGTTCACTTATAAATCATTGGGCAGAAGTAGATGCTCCTCCCCACCCCACCTACATCTGTTTTTATAAGTTTTCAAAGGGATGCACTGTGGGGTAAGGCAAAATCAATATGCAATGAGCTGCTATTTTTGGAATGAAAACAGTTTATCAAGGAAGGGTTTACCGGCTCAAAAAAATAGATCTAGATTGTCTGTGTACTTCATAGAGGGTGGGGAAAGTACTCAGTATCTATTCATTCTGGAATAATGAATATACAGCTAATGTCTCTGGAGGAGTTTGTAAGGAATAAGGCCAATGAATTCCAAATTGCTGAAGTTTTGTACAAATGCACTTCTGTAGTCTGGAAGTCCTGTCTACATACTCAGGTCAAACTTGATTCAGATGGTTTGTCCTGCCCTTCAAGCTGAATCTGGGGGAACCTGATTCCTTCAGAGGGTAGGTAAGAAGGGAGAATGACATTTCTGAATGGTTTTCAATGCAAAACATACAGAAGTAATCCATGCTTTCAGAAAAGCAGCACACCCAGGGGATTGGTTCACATTCCGCCCTCTTCCTCTTTTGCTGAGAGTGGAATCAAGTGTATGGCATGTCACACCCGGAAACTGTCCAATATGTGAACCTCTACCCACAGCCAATGTGGCACGCTGCCAGGGGCACGACTACATGGTGATGCTAAACGTGTAAATCAGCCCCAGACTGTTCTGTAATGAAAGAATGCAGCTGGGAACTCTGAGCGAAGGTAAACCTTGAAAGGAAGACATACATTTTCAGCATTTCCCATTCGACAAATACTCACCAGTCATAAGGAAGAGAGGAAAGGAGGCCCAGCCCAAGCCAAAAGACCATCCGTAAGAGCCTTTTCCTTCTGTCTGCCCTGTGAAGGTGGCCATGGCAATCATGACGCAAAGAGCTATTAAGGGGGGGAAATGCATTAGGATATTAGATTATGTATAAATCAAATCCTGGAAGCTGACCAGGAAAATTCAGCTTGTACAAAATGAAGAGGCTCAGTTGCTCACCAAAGCCAAACATCACCATCAAATTATGTTGCTGCTGAAAGATGTGCACTGACTGCCAGTTAGCTGCCAGGGTAGGCTCAGGGTGCGGTTATTGGTGTACAAAGTCCTAAGCAGTTAGGAACCAGCATGCTTAAAGGATTAACTCGCCCCCTACATCGCAAGCTGACCACTGTGTGCATCCACACAGGCATCCAGCCGGCCCCAACCTATAAGGAGGTTCGTTCCACATTATGTCAAAATTGGGCCTTTGGTGTGGTGACCCTTGGAAATCCCTCCCACTACATATCCTCAAGCACCTTCTCTCTTGTCTTTTTAGTGCCTGGTAAAGATGTTCCTCTTTCAACAAGCCTACTAAAATCTTTATCTCAGCTGGTATCTGTACTGGATCTGAATGGATCGATATGCAGATGCTGTTGTTTTAAAGAGATTTTTATATTTACGGTTGTTATTTTTCAAATTGTTTTCATATGCCGTTGTTTAACTGTCTTTATATGTGTAACATGTAATAAAAAGATAAGTGTGCCATCACTCTGCAGTTCTCTTGAACACAGACAGGTGGCGATGTAATGTACAGTGTGATGAGAAGTGGTGGGTGGGTGGCCCAGGTGAGATGTAGAGGGACAGCCGGAACAGGTGGCAGCCACTGCCCTGCTCTGCTGCCCTCCTCTGCCTGCCAGCCCAGTGGTTTATTCTCCCAGGACCCAGAGAACCAGGCTGGTCAGCACAGCTAGTGGCCACCTTCCTGTGCTGTTCCTCTTCCCAGGCAAATTCTTCATCCCGCTTGGTTGTGGCAGCATGAGGTTAAAAGGGGAAAGTCTTAGAAGCATGCTATACTCAAGAAGGGGGATGTGGTTTTCATTCAATGGAAGCCACTTCTCCTTGCAGTGTGCCTTTTGAAGCCAACCCACATGGCTGATTTCCAACTCCAACATAGCAAGTGGAAAGCAGTTGCTCTGGGGAGGCTTTGAAAGCCCTTTGTACTCCCACTTCTCCTTTGTAACTCCGAAACCAGGGATGGAAAGGGCTGGGGTTGCATTGCACCTTTTAACCAGATCCATCAATTTGAGTGGGTCTACTCTGAGCATATGCCTGTTGTCTTTGTCCATGGAGGAGACTCTTGAGAGTCCCATGGACTGCAAGAAGATCAAACCTACAAATTCTTAAGGAAATCAGCCCTGAGTGCTCACTGGAAGGACAGATCCTGAAGCTGAGGCTCCAATACTTTGGCCACCTCATGAGAAGAGAAGTCTCCCTGGAAAAGACCCTGATGTTGGGAAAGATGGAGGGCACAAGGAGAAGGGGACGACAGAGGACGAGATAGCTGGACAGTATTCTTGAAGCTACCAGCATGAGTTTGACCAAACTGTGGGAGGCAGTGGAAGACAGAAGTGCCTGGCGTGCTCTGGTCCACGGGGTCACGAAGAGTCGGACACGACTAAACGACTAAACAACAACAGCAACAACTCTGAGTATAACTTAGTTCCGCTAATAATAGTTTGTCAGGTATATACATCTGAGTTCTGGGGTTTGAGGAGCTTGAACTGACTGTGGAATCAGATGGTTATGATGCCCAGGTTACCTGCAACAAGGCTGGCTACAGCTGCGGTCTTGGTCTTGGAGAGGGAGCCAAATTGAAAGTCAAAAAATTTGCCAATAAGCGTAAGGCAAGAGACGGCTCCAGCAATCATCCCGAAGAACATGAAGGCTCGGGTAGCATGGTAGTAATCTTTCAGGAAGGAAGGAAGAGAAAGAAAGAAAGACAGTTAAATATATCAATGGGATTGAACAATAGGACTCATTCAGTACAGACTACTGTCAACAGTTCTTTTTTTGTTGCCCATAGCATCCATTTTATGGCGGTACCGACATAAACTTTGCCAAGATATTGGTACCAGCATACAGAGAGAGAGAGAGAGAGTAAAGGTCTTAACTATAGTCACACTGGGCTCTCAGGCAGTTGAAGAACCATGAAAGTTTCTTCCTGTTTTGAATACCATACATTGAGTACTTCTAGCAGAATGCATTGGGTGTTGTGGGAGGGCTAGAACCTCCAGTGGCAGACACACTGTGCTCTTTTTGGGATAGTCTGTCCACTTTTAATAATAAATAATGATAATAATAAGACAGCCAAGCTCTCCTTGGTGCCCCACACTAGGCCAACACATTCAATGCCGGAGATTGGTGGTGATGGCAGAGCCCTGAAAGAGCAATCCTCCCAGATTAACAATGCTACAAACAGTCTGCAACTGGTGGAGGATGGAGAAACCTGGAGGTGTCATCTCATGCAAGGTGACTACTTCGCCTTCGCGCACCCAGGTCTCAGTCACACAAACCAGGTCAACCCGCTTCAAGATAAGGAAGTCTCGCAAGGTGGTGGTTTTATTGCCTATGGACCTGGCATTGCACAGCACCAATGATGGAGGTAGGTAATCCCTGCTCACCCTACCCATGTCCCTTGGGATGGGGTGTAGATTGGAAGGGGTTCAAGCATCACCGCATCTCAAAACTCTTCGCCGATAATATCTACCCCCACCACCGTTCCTCCCTTGTCCTTCGACGGTGGCAATTCCAGACCCCACGCTAGCCTCCCCTATAAAGGAATGATATACCCTCACTAACATAACATCCCTGGGCCAAGTCTCCCGAATTGAAAAGGTATAATATTGAGATGAAAAATCAGCAGGACAAACATCCCCGGTAGGTAAAACCCATCCAGCCACACCCCAGGTAGCGAGGGGAGCCCCACACTGGTCTGCTAACTGTCAATCCCTCTCTCCCTCATAAGGGAGCCAGGGGGCTATTAACTCTTTCTGTGCCTTTGGGAGTATTAATGAGGCATGTGCTGTAAAATGGGGGTCACTAGCGAGCAGAGAGCCAGCTTCATGTTCAGAGACTCCGTCCGTCATCTCGCCAAAGATGCAGTAGGGAAAGTCGGTCGTTCTCGTAAGTTTTAGGAGTATTAAGCAAAGGCTCTGGTGTAGCCTGGGTGCTTGGTTTCAGCAATCTATCCATGGCATGAAGTTCTTTAGAAGTTGTTGCCATGAGAGTGTCAGGGTCACCGGGTTCATCTTCTCCATCGCTATCGCTTGGGACAAGATCAGGAAATTGCACAGGTGTCTTTCTTCGAGATGAAGGGCTATTGGGCATATTTCGACATTGTGTTCCGGGCTCTAATGTCCTTATGTTTTGAATTGAGATCTCTGTCTTTATACTCAATAATCTCCGCTTCAGTTCTTCTAATTCTGAACTCATGGGTTTATCTTCCTCCTTCTTGCAGGTAGTGTTTCTATTGTTTAATTTAGCTTCCCTTATCGGTGTTTGCTTTGGTTCTCTGCCAGGGACTAGCTGCCTCACTGTCTCATTCTTGAAAACCCTTACTGGGTGAGACCGCCATAAGATGTTTTTCATCTCTATAAGTCGAGATGGAAGAGCTGGAGTTCTAAAAGTCATAAACAGGCGTGTGATGTTTCTTATGCTGGGCAGGAAATGTAATTTTTTCAGATTGACTTTTTGGTAATGGCAGTTCAAAAGCTGAGATAAGGATGCCGTAATTAACCTACGATTCATCCACCTGTACTCATTTCGATGAATCTCAAGCATTATCTGGTTTGCTTGGAGGACTTGGCAAGGCCTTATTTTATCTGTGACTCGTATTGACAGGTCACTGGCATAGTTGTATCTAATCCTCCTTTTAGCCCTTTGGGCATTTATAGAGGGAGGACAATTATCCAAGTATTCCTCTATATTAGCTATTTTGGTGAAAATTTCATTCAGTCTTTGAAGAACTAAGACCACAGTTTCTGCCGACATCATGCAAATCTCTTGGTAAGGGTATAAATCTGGAATCTTCTGGAAACAAGTTCCTCTATTGTCTTGTTCTAAATACATGGGTGGGTCAGCATTTGGGATAGGGGGAATCCCTCCTACTCCTGTTTTCTGGGTCAGATCATCTCCTTCCCTCCTTGAAAGAGGGGGGGGGGGTCGGATCATCTCCTTCCTTCTTAGACTGGGGGAGGGTTCCCCCAGGACAGATTGCTCTGTTTCTGAGCTAAGAATGAAGGTGTTTGCTTTCCGCCTCTTCTCTGCGTTGGCAGAATTGTGAGTCCCAATTATGCTGTTTTGGCTCTTAATGCCTCATTTTTTCCTTCTAGCAGGCATTCCAGATAATTAGAAGCATTCTATCAGGTCAAGGCCAGGTCTTATGTTCAATGGATGAAAACTGTGCGTTAGTCGCAAAGTCTGCAATCTATCTTCTTTAGTGTTCCTTGTTACGCTAAATCGAGTTGAGCCATAAAACAATAGGTAATAAAACAATAAAACAATAAACCAGTAGGCTAAAAGCAAAGAAAACAAAATGACAACTCAAAATATAAACATAAGGTCTGAAAATGGCTAAAACCTAATTAAAAGCTTAATTGAGGGCAGCAGGTTCTGCAATCAGCTCTCACCTGTGGCTCCTAGTCAGCATGTGGCAATGGCCACTTCCCAGGAATGACTTTGACTGGCTGGCGTGAAGGCAGCCAATGGGTCTCAGACCCTCGGTGAGCTAGGGACTTCCCCTGTGTGCAAAGAGAGGCTCTGGTGGATTGTGCAGATGAGATCAATAGTGGGTCCAATGATCAAGAGGGTGGTTTCTGCACATGCTGAAGATGGAAGTGAGGGGTAGATGGGGCTCATCAACCTGGGAAGACATCTGTAGCATAGGTGGCAACTCCCTGGGTGCTCAAGCACCCACAAAATTCCCCATGAAGGGGCCGGGCACCCACAAATTTCGGTTCCAGGGCCATGCACGCTGCATGGCACCCACAGCCCCAGGCACCCACAGTTGCAGGGCCAAGCTGGCACTCCTGATCTGTAGGACATCTAGGAGAAGGAAGGAAATCTCTGCTGCTTCGTGGGATATCTACAGGAGAAGAAAAGGCTAGGGAGTAAACCCTACACAAGTCCAGAGTGGAGTCCCTAAGACTGTTGGATGACACCTTATATGTCTCCTTCCAGCAACTTCTGCAGCTAAGCTGGTACTCTGCTTTCCTTTGGACCATACCAGCAAGTCCAAGAGCACAGTCTTGTCACCTGAGCACCCCAGGACCTCCATAAACACTGCTCAGGCTTGCACCCTGGGGAGATCACGTCGGTGCTGCTAATGCAGTGGTTTGACTTCACTCCCGGAGGCACACTCAATTCTCACACTCACACTCAACAACAGTACTCAGAGCTGAAGACAGAGAAGTTCTTACCTGGCACATCCATCCCAAATGAACGACAGCCATCTTTGGAATTACAATCTACCCACAGGCCATTGTTGGAAACACTGTTTTGCAACCAGTAATCTGAGCCCAGGGCAATGAGGAGGAACAGGAGGCTGATGAAAGCGCAAGCCACAGTGCTAAACTGTAGGACATTCATTGCGAGAATGTTCAGCTATGTAACAGAGTTGAGAAATAAGGATGATGAACCTGCGGAAAGGAGATATTCGTGTTATTCTTCGTCAGTTGCATTCCCTCCAACCTTCCCCAGATGAAAATAGGGACATCTCTCTAATTTTTATTAAATTTTCTGTTTTACAATTTAAAGTACTAATGTTTACATCCTTAAGATATCAGTGACTTCCCTTCTTCTCTTCCCATGGTTCGTTTTACATATCATCAATCCCTGCATATTTTACAGAGACTATACCATTCCGTATTCCATTATTACATCCATCATAACTTATTTACACTCCTGAATTTATCTAAATGCTGCCAGCGTTTTCAGCTGTACACAGTTATTTCCCATATATTCAATAAACATTTTCCAATCTTCTCTGAACATATGCTCTTCTTGTTCTCTTATTTTATATGGAAAAGAAGAACATTTGTCACTAACCTCAAATGACCCTCCTAGACCCTCCATTTGTTGTCCATCTCCCGAGCATTTTCTATCAGAAGAGGGGCAAGTGTAGGGCTGACATATTTCAAAAAGTGAAAATCCAGAGCTGCTTTTTGTTGTTGTTGTTTTGGCAAAGTTGCTGAACTTTTTAGGCAAAATCTCAAAAATAAATTACATTTTTGAGCTATTCACATGGGAAATCGCCAAAATCCTGATGTCCGACATTGGTTGCCATACGACAGGATTTTCTGGATATTTCCCGCCCAGACGCTGCTTCTGAATACTGCAGTATTCCAGCTATGTTTTTTATTATTATTATTATTATTATTATTATTATTATTATTATTTATTATGTCCGGGAAATTCCTGACGTATGGCAACCCTAGGCAAGTGCCATCTCCATCACATCCGACAAGACATAGAGCACATGCCCTCCACTGCCCTGAGAAAAATCCCTTAATCCCATTTTTTATCCTGTTTTATTCTTTGGTAGATTTACAAAAAGAAGGAGGAGGAGGAGGAGGAGAGTTTGGACTTGATATCCCATCTTTAACTCACCTTAAGGTGTCTCAAAGCAGCTAACATTCTCCTTTCCATTCCTCCCCCACAACAAACACACTGTGAGGTGAGTGAGGCTGAGAGACTTCAGAGAAGTATGACTAGCCCAAGGTCCCTCAGCAGCTGCATGTGGAGGAGCGGAGACGCGAACCTGATTCACCAGATTACGAGTCCACCGCTCTTAACCACTATACCTCTTTCTCCCTGCCCATTGCAGCCCTGTCCTCTGCCTACCCCTCAGAACTGGTGGGTCACATGGGGCAGGGCCTTGGTGGTGGCAGCCTCTCATCCTTCTCGGCCGCTCTCCAGCAGCCGCTAGGAACTGCCCAAGGGGAAGAGGCCAGCAGTCACGGCCATGGAAAGGCAACAGTGTACTTTCCTTGCAGCTGCTACAGCCATAGCCACTGCTCTGGACAAGCGCTGGCTCAGCTTGGCAGCAGTATGTATGTATGTATGTATGCATGTATAAATTAATAATAATAATAATAATAATAAATTATTTATGCCCCGCCCATCCAGCTACTCTGGGCAGCTCCCAACAGATTAAAAACAGAATAAAACATCAGTAATTTAAAACTTCCCTTAACAGGGCTGCCTTCAGATGTCTTCTAAAAGTCAGATGGTTGTTTATTTCCTTGACATCTGATGGGAGGGCATTGCACAGGGTGGGCGCCACTACCAAGAAGGCCCTGTGCCTGGTTCCCTGTAACCTCGCTTCTCACAGGGAGGGAACTGCCAGAAGGCCCTTGGAGCTGGACCTTAGTGCCCGGGCTGAAGGATGGGGTGGAAACTGAACTGGCAGGGGAAATAGGGATGTTCCAGGAAGAAACAAGCGGCAGGGGTGGCTTTCGTGATTCCAGGACTGTCCCTGGAAAATCAGGGCACTTGGAGGGCATGCAGTTGCAGACTATGTTTAGATTTTTATTTTAAAAGGTCTACAGCAGATTGCACTGTTGTGAACAGAAGATGTTCGCAAACTCAGCAGACTGTGACAGGCATTTAGCATTTCTATACTGCAGGTCCTCAGGGTGCTTTGCAAATAAAAAAACTGTTCCCTCCTTCCCTGTCCTGCTCTTGATGACCTGGTTAGTAGGGTAGAAGTGGAAGGATCATTAGGCGCGAGTGATCATGCTCTTCTGAAGTTTACTATACAGTGGAAAGGAGCAGCCAAGCATACTAGGACTCAATTTCTTGACTTTAAGAAAGCCGACTTCATAAGACTTAGGGAAGTGCTGGGTGAGATCCCATGGACAGTAACACTAAAAGGAAAGGGAGTTCATGATGGCTGGGAGTTTGTTAAGAGGGAGATAGTAAAAGCACAACTTCAGGCAATACCAATGAGACGGAAACATGGAAGGTGCCTAAAGATGCCAGGGTGGCTATCTAAAGAACTTTTAACTGAGTTAAGATTAAAAAAAGGATGTGTACAAAAAATGGAAAAGGGGGGAAACCACCAAAGAGGAATTCAAACAAATAGCCAGCACGTGTAGACACAAAGTCAGAAAAGCTAAAGCACAGAATGAACTGAGGCTTGCTAGAGAGGTTAAAAGCAACAAAAAGCCTTTTTTGGGTATGTCAGTAGCAAAAGGAAGAACAAAGAAACAGTGGGGTCACTCAGAGGAGAAGATGGTGAAATGCAAACAGGGGACACAGAAAGAGCTGAACTCCTCAATGCCTTCTTTGCCTCAGTCTTCTCCGATAAAGAAAACAATGCCCGACCTGAAGAATTTGGAGCAAATGATTCAGCAGAGGAAACACAGCCCAGAATAACTAAGGAGATAGTACAAGAATACTTGGCTAGATTAGATGTATTCAAGTCTCCAGGGCCAGATGAACTGCATCCAAGAATATTAAAAGAACTGGCAGATGTGATCTCAGAACCACTGGCAGTCATCTTTGAGAATTCCTGGAGAACAGGCAAAGTCCCGGCAGACTGGAGGAGGGCAAATGTTGTCCCTATTTTCAAAAAGGGGAAAAGAGAGGACCCAAATAATTACCGCCCAGTCAGTCTGACATCAATACCAGGGAAGATTCTGGAGCAGATCATTAAGCAAACAGTCTGTGAGCACCTAGAAAGGAATGCTGTGATCACCAATAGTCAGCATGGATTTCTGAAAAATAAGTAACTGTCAGACTAACCTGATCTCGTTTTTGACAGAATTACAAGCCTGGTAGATGAAGGGAACACAGTGGATGTAGCCCACCTTGATTTCAGCAAGGCATTTGACAAGGTGCCCCATGATATTCTTGTAAAGAAGCTGGTAAAATGCGGTCTTGACTATGCTACCACTCAGTGGATTTGTAACTGGCTGACTGACCGAACCCAAAGGGTGCTCATCAATGGTTCCTCTTCATCCTGGAGAAGAGTGACTAGTGGGGTGCCACAGGGTTCTGTCTTGGGCCCGGTCTTATTCAACATCTTTATCAACGACTTGGATGATGGACTCAAGGGCATCCTGATCAAATTTGCAGATGACACCAAACTGGGAGGGGTGGCTAACACCCCAGAGGACAGGATCACACTTCAAAACGACCTTGACAGATTAGAGAACTGGGCCAAAACAAACAAGATGAATTTTAACAGGGAGAAATGTAAAGTATTGCACTTGGGCAAAAAAAGGAGAGGCACAAATACAAGATGGGTGACACCTGGCTTGAGAGCAGTACATGTGAAAAGGATCTAGGAGTCTTGGTTGACCACAAACTTGACATGAGCCAACAGTGTGACGCGGCAGCTAAAAAGCCAATGCAATTCTGGGCTGCATCAATAGGAGTATAGCATCTAGATCAAGGGAAGTAATAGTGCCACTGTATTCTGCTCTGGTCAGACCTCACCTGGAGTACTGTGTCCAGTTCTGGGCACCACAGTTCAAGAAGGACACTGACAAACTGGAACGTGTCCAGAGGAGGGCAACCAAAATGGTCAAAGGCCTGGAAACGATGCCTTATGAGGAACGGCTAAGGGAGCTGGGCATGTTTAGCCTGGAGAAGAGGAGGTTAAGGGGTGATATGATAGCCATGTTCAAATATATAAAAGGATGTCACATAGAGGAGGGAGAAAGGTTGTTTTCTGCTGCTCCAGAGAAGCAGACACGGAGCAATGGATCCAAACTACAAGAAAGACGATTCCACCTAAACATTAGGAAGAACTTCCTGACAGTAAGAGCTGTTCGACAGTGGAATTTGCTGCCAAGGAGTGTGGTGGAGTCTCCTTCTTTGGATGTCTTTAAGCAGATGCTTGACAACCATATGTCAGGAGTGCTCTGATGGTGTTTCCTGCTTGGCAGTGGGTTGGACTCGATGGCCCTTGTGGTCTCTTCCAACTCTATGATTCTATGATTCTATGATTCTCTATGATTCTATGCTCTCACAAGGGATATCTTACGCAGGAGGGGTAGTGTTTACTGTAGTGGCCCCCAAGTTTTACTTTCCCTGAACCACCTGAAAATCACTGAGAAACTCAGACCCTCCAAGTGTCCCTATTTTCCAGGGATGTCCCTGATTTAGAGAAGCCATCCTCGTTTTTTATTTGATCCTAGAATATTCAGCTTTTCCATAGAATGCCCCGTTTGCAATGGAGAAATGTTGGAGGGTATGGAGTTATCCAACCCCCGAGTTGTCTGAAGGCAACCCTGTATAGGGAGGTTTTAAAAAATGTTGTATTATGTTTTTATATATGGTGGAAACTGCCCAGAGTGCTGGGGCAACCCAATAAGATGTGTATTACTATTAATAGTAAAATTATCATTATGGAATGGGACGTCCCTATTTTCATCGAAGAAATGTTGGAGGGTGTAGAACAGACATCTCCAACCTGCGGTCCTCCAGATGTTTTGACCTACAACTCCCATGATCCCTAGCTAACAGGACCAGTGGTCAGGGATGATGGGAATCACAGTCCAAAACATCTGGAGGGCCGAAGGTTGGGGATGCCTGGTGTAGAATCTTGGTGGCACTTGGTTGAACCTAATGATTTCTCT